AAACTATGTATGTGATAATCATCTGTACAAGTGTGCATGTATAGTTTTATGTTTATTTTCTCCTTGCATTGATGCGTCCGGGCCGACAATTGATGAACTAACCTTTAAGTAATGAATGGCTTCATACTATGTACAATCATCATTCAAATTATAGATGAGGGTTGGGCCTTTAAGTAATTAATGGCTTCATAGTCATACTATGCACAATCATCATTCAAATTATAGATGAGGGTTGGGTATGTTAGCCATGACCACGTATTTTTTCAGCATTCATGTTCGAATCACTCTTTTTATTAAATTTAAAGAATAATATATGTACATAAAATCGTATGATGAGATGTAGATCTTGGTTTAGTCCAAGTTGTTATAATAATGTGCTTCATTCTTTGCACTCAAATTTGAATGTTCATTCCAATAATTTGAATCAAATTGATATAATTATCGTATTATTTGTTAAAATTTTGATATGATAAAGGTAAATTAAGATCAGTTAAAAGTTTGACTTCGTATAAAGTAATAAAATAAAGAAGCGCTAAAATTATGTCTTATATAAATATCTACACCCGAAACTTCTAATTCATTTCATACAAAAATAATTAAGTTTCCATTGATTAATCTACCAAGATTTAGAGAGATACGTCAACGGTCCAGTCCTAAACCCGTCAATTTTGTTTTCGACGTAATTAACCACATGTGCAACTCAATAAGAGTGAGATTTTATCACGACCGACCTCATCACAATTAAAAATAAAATCATTCAATATAAGTTTTGTATCAATTAGTCATGTTTCAAATGTAAAACTCATTATTCAGCATAGCCAAACTAGCACTTGTATTGTGGGGTTATGAATATGGGTTTTTCTTGGACTACCAAGGTTAATGCTTCTGCATCATATATGACCTACACATGCACTAACAAAGGTGGATGCATTGTATACAAGTGAAAGTGATGAAAACACGTTGGCATTGGTACAATGTTAGCCCAATCAGTTGACTTTTGATGTAAAGACACAACATATCGAGATAAGTACTCTTGTAAGGCGTAGGCGATGGACAACATGTCGAATATTCCTTAAATAACCCTTATTGGTTCCAAAGGATGAAGGAGACTAGGTTAACCGAAAGATGGATATCGTAACCCTAATAATCTAGCTTATTAAACTCTTTACCACAACAGCCAAATTGAAGATGCACGAACCAAATCATAAGCCTTTAATCTTACGACTCTTATCTTTCAAGAAATGAGAAAAAGCATGAAAAACGTGAAGTGAAAACTACAAGTCCTACAACAAATCACAAGTGGGACATTGTAAGATTATGATGATATGATATTGATGTGTTTAGAATTGGGGTGATGGGAGTGACCATTCATATAGTTCCACTGCTATTGGTCCTTTCTCGGATATATTTTAGTAACTAAAACTTGAGTGATCGAGTATTTGAGGTGTGGCAATAGGTTGTGCTTAGCTTTACTCATTTAAACGCGTCTCGTTCGGGTTAAATTATAAATCAAATTTGATCAACTCGCAAAACGAGAGAAAATCTATCAGTGTCATATATGTTTTTTTTGTAAAACAATTTTTTTTAACAAATGATATTATCTACACTGAAAGGGTGAGATAGTGGATTAAACCTCACAATGAGCTAGCCATAATAATTTGGTTCAAATTCGTCTGTGGCAAGAATTAAACCTAAGACCTCGCTTACAAGTGAAGAAGAATACCATTAAACCGTAGTACAAAATAGCTTGTAAAACAATATTTTAAACTACTCAAATTTATGACAATAACTCAAATTCGGATATAATAGAGAGAGCATTGCCCTAATTAACTTATCACATTTGTGTATTTTTTTTTAATTTATTATTTTTAAGGAAATGTGAAGACTTCGAAACTATCATAATAATTTAAAAGAATATGAAATTTCAAAGCCAAGAAGCATGGGTAGAAAATAAACACTCAACACCTTATTCTTTGAGATATTAAACTACACACATACTAATCGTTTACATATCATAACACATATGTTATGTTCAAGAACTTTTCAAATCGTGTAGTGTCCCAAATTGTAATCATCATCTTTGTAGCTTGTGGTGTAGATCAAGTGTTAGACAGTTTTCCACCAAACAGGCTGATTGGATTGTATGATTGGGTCCATTTCTATGCAATACTGTACTGTATTGTTAATTGGTTAGCAGAAAGGAAAATGATCGCTTCGGACAAGTCGCCATTTTAGATGGTCCAAAAATCATCAAGCAACCACAACTATATATTGTCAGATACACTGATGGTACTTATGCTCCATTGAAGGAAATTCTCAATGAAATTGATCTTCTACCGTTAAATCGATTGATACAATAGAAAGTAGCTTAATTTTTTATAAGCACGTTTAAGGTTTATTATTTTTCTGTGCAATATTGTACTGTATTGGATTGTATTGATTGTATGATTGGGTCCATTTCTGTGCAATATTGTATTGTATTGTTAATTGGTTAGCAGAAAGGAAAATGATCGCTTCGGACAAGTCGCCATTTTAGATGATCCAAAAATCATCGAGCAACCACAACTATATATTGTCAGATACACTAATGGTACTTATGCTCCATTGAAGGAAATTCTCAATGAAATTGATCTCAAACCGTTAAATCGATTGACACAATGGAAAGTAGCTTAACTTTTTACAAGCACGTTTAAGATTTATTATTTTTCGATTTGAGATTTATAGTCTCAATATTAGTGTTATTAGTAAAGTAATTCAATTACAAGCTTACTTGAAAGTGCTTCTATAAACGTTAAAAACACTTTTTGAAACCTAAAACGCTTTACGATAATTTTGATATGAATAACTTAAAGTATTTATAAATTATAAAAACACTTTTTAGTGTGTTATTATGAAAAAAGACACATGTGATAAAGTACTTCCAAGGTCATTTTTCTAAAAAGCACAAATTTTAGAGAACACCGTTAGACTTTCATCTAAAATAAAAGGTCTAAGCTTTTTAGGTAATACCATGTTAACTTCCATCCATTATAAAGGAGTAAATAAGGGATGTAAGTTATATCGTAATTACCCAAAACGACATATTCTTCACACTGTGACAAGTTTATGAACTAATACTCACAAATTTTGATCCGAAAACCAAAGCTCCAATTCGACCAAAGTTCAAACTCAAATGCTTCAATTTTCCCATATGAATAAAATGGCAACCCCAAGCCAACAAAGCTCCCCGTTTTGAGAGAGTCGCTAGGAAAAGTAAAGCAGGGAACCATATTAGTCGCCCTTTTTATTCATACGAGAAGTTGAAACATTTGAGTTTGAACTTTGATCGAATTAGAGTTTTGGTCTTTAAACAATTTTTGGACTTGGGATCGCCCTTTCAATTTTATTATATGAATAATTATAAATAAAAAAATGAATGGAGCACCCTAATAATTCAATAATCAACCCTTCATTGGGATTGGAGAAGATTTGATGAAAAAATTCTGGTAATAGATACTACCTGTTGGCTGGAGACTCTAAGCACCAAATATAAGTACACAAAATCCAGTTCAAATTTTCTGAAATTGGACCACAATTAGTTGGGTTACATGCAGTCACACTGATTATTTGTGTAGCAAGAAAGGGAGGTGTTATTGACAATAAAAAAAATCTCATTCTACACTTCTCACAAGTGTATTTTTCTTTCTAAATATATAAAGTTTAGAGTGTAGAATGAGATTTTTGAAGTACCAGTAACAATTTCCGCATGAAATTAGTGTTGGTAGGACCACAATTGTGAGGGTGCGTCTGATCAAGATCTGACGGCAAAAGAATCTTTTGCAAGCTGATCAGCTACTACTACTGCGGTTATGGTAGCTCCTGATTTTGGACCATTCTAAGCTGTCTACAGCTACCAATGGTCCTAAATTGTGCTGCATATTTGAACTAGTTAGTATAATATTGGACATGGCTGCAAGCTGCCCTCATGAATTTCTTCACTCTCAATTCAACCACGGGCCACTTAATACTACGGTTTAATGGTATATTTACGTGTAAGTAAGAGGTTTTAAGTTCAGTTCTCACCAAAGGTGAATTTAAACCACATTATTATTAGCTGATTATGAGGCTAAACCCACATCATCCCCTTTAGTATTGATGATATCGTTTGTTCAAAAAAAAAAAAAAACCCTCAACCACCGAACAATTATACAGAAAGGAAGAGAGGAAGGCCAATAGGAGTGAGGATGGACATACTTATTTCCGTATTTAACGAATATTGGATGAAAATTTCAATTGTTGGTTAAATTTCCTAACAATATTAATTCAACACAAGAGTTTAAATTCTAGTTTTCTTAGAGCAAGAGTTACCTCTCTAATGACCTATCCGCTATCACCATGGTACTATTAATCCGATGTGACCTTTTATTTTGCCTCGGGAATCTTTTCAAAATAAAAGCAAAAAGAATTCAATTGTCGGTAAAAACTGAACCTGACGTGAATCGAACACGCAACCTTCTGATCTGGAGTCAGACGCGCTACCATTGCGCCACAGATCCGTTAATATGATTATCACGGTTGAATTCTACAAGGTGTACGGAATACATTTTTATGGTTTTTTGTTTTTATGGTATTTAATTAAAATGGGCCTGAGCTCGAATTTTAGATATGGGCTGGAGTTATGCATAGGAGGGGCCTAGGCCTAAACTACCCAAACCTAAATTCCAGCTTTGCCCTTTCAAATGTTCATTTTCGTACAGCGATATTTGAGAAGTCATCGAAAATAAAAGCTCGAATACAAAAGTAAATACTCTTAATCACATGAGCTACAAATCCATTATTTTGCATCAAGACGTTCAAATTTTCATTCGCAATTTCACAATTCTTAACTTTGAATTGAAACAATCAAATACTTGTAGTCAAATGCAAACGTAGATTCAGCTAGCTAGCCAAGACAACGTTCCTATCCTTTTGTACCCAAGTTTGAGTCTTACTCCCGTAGAATAGTTTAGAGGACAATATCGTATTGTTAAAATAAAATAGTGGTTCCTGTTTGGGTACATTAGCTTCATTGATCATGTCAGGGTACACAGAAAGAAAAGCTTCATTTAGCTCTTGATCAGTAACATAAACAAAGGCTACACAAAATGCTCGGTTGGGTATTCATTCTCATATCCATTGTAATCATAATACAATCTCTCCCCCTTTGTTATATCTCGATTCGCAATCAGTAAAACCCTAGACTCGCCATTGACGTCAAATCTTACACACTTCAAGTTCTGCTTCTTCCTCCCGTCCCTGCACCATACCACAGTAACTTCAGTTGTAACATAACATAGTTATTTACACATGAAGGCAGAATATTAGTATTGGAACGGGGATAGCTTACGGTGTATGATTATTGATTCCGTTGATGAAGCGCGCAATGTTACCATGCTTGTAGGGACAAATGACAAGGCTTTTTGAAGGTGTAGCTGCTGAAAGCAATGTCATTGTGCTGTCTCCATCGTCATTTTCGCGGTTCTTCAGATAATCAACATCTCCAACGTATTCTGTGATTATTGTCAAATCCCTTATGTGTTTATCAGCCTCAACTGTGAACCTGTGAATGAATCATTAATACTGAATCAAGGAGTCCAGTTACATCAACTACAAGAGAGAATGTTTTGTTGGTTTGTAAACTCACCCTTCTTTAGGATCGAAAACAACCATGAGGGGAGGACATTCTCCTCTCTCCATCATGCTTTTGCACAAATTCAACGTTTCAGTATCTTCTTTCGACATAACCTGGAAGGCAACGATATCAGAAATGTACCTTTTGGATCACACTCAACTAAATAAGAAAATTGAATACGACATGCTAGAATTTCTCTTCAAGAATAATCAGGACACATCATATGAATTTAACATCATCCTTTAGAAGCGGCTTATGGATATATGGAAGTGAGAGACAACAAACGATCATGCATTTTTGGAGTGCCATACATTTGCAGACTCTCATCGATAAATTCTGCTAATGTACATTGTGTCCAGTTCGGGAACTTGTTCTAAAAAATTTATCGTTTCCATGTTCGGTATGGTAAGATGGAAACCAAAGGGAAAATACTGGACATTGTCTACATGCTTTGGAAACTTTTAAGGAACATAACATTTAAAAAGAAACTTAGAAGCAGAATTTCGCCTCAAATAGAGCCCACCCTATTAAGACTAGATTTGGCAGAAAAACGTAAAAGTGCTTATGGATGATAGAAACCCTTTCCAAAGAAGCACTTGCTAAATTTCAACCTGTTTCTAATAAAAACACTTCTATCAGAATAAGCTCACGAGCAGAAGTGCTTCCTACAGAAGCACGCACACTAGACAAGTCATCAAACAGAAAAACAATATGCATCAAATCATTTTATTTGTGTTGGAATCGAAAATTTACCTGCATTCCTTCTCGCTCAAGATCTGCACAATTGGCCCACCTGGGCGCCATTCCAGGGATATAAGTGAGCTCATTGCTGAACTCAGTCCCCGTTGCCATCAACGCCGTCGCCAGCGAAGCCATTTGCTGCATTCTCCTCGTACAATCCTTGGTCGGAATAAAGGGCAACAATTTCCTCTTCTTCTTCGAGACCACCAAGCTGCTCGCCCGCCTTCGCCTCTTTCGACAATCTACAAACAAAAGAACAAAACTTTCAGAGGAACCCAGAATTAAAACAAGAAAATAAATCCTAATAAACTGACTTTTCATAGAATTTACCTTGATTTATCTTCTGGGGCGATTCTGCAAACCTCTGAATCCGAAAAAAATCGCTGATTTTAGTTTGGTGGAGAGGGAAAGCTGTAAAATCAAGATAAAATAGAATCGAATTGATCAATCAATCAATCAATCACATCTGATAAAATTCAACATTTAGCCTCCAAAAATCCCAAAATTCAATCTGGATCAGAATAATTAACGAAAACTAGGGGGGAATTGGGGAAATTACATTTGGGTTTTTTGTCGTTGGAGCAGCAAGGGCCGAACCACTTTCCTTTCGGGACTTGAGCAAGGATGGGTCTCAGGCAAAACATGTGGTAGCCTCTGTTGCAGCTGCGACCGTCGCACAGAAGGAGCTCCGCCGGAGAGTCGCCGGACCCACATTCCTCGCAGGACACGTCCTCGTCGGATTCGGAATCGGATGCGCTGACGTAGTCATCATCCTCGACGATTTGAGCAGGAGAGGGAGGCTTCGGGGCTTGCGTTCTTCTCCTCAACGCCACCATTCCTTTCGTTTTTTCCGGGTTCGGGCGAGCGAGGGCGTCGCGTTGCGTTGCGCTATTTAACCAATGGGGAGATTTCCCGCCCTAATTTGGGTTCGCGGGAAATGAGGTTTCGCGCGCGAGCATGGGTTAATTTCTTAATTATTTGGCGCCACTGTTTCCTATTGGACAGGGCTATGTCTTGGCCCAATACTAAGCATGTGCAGGGCTGGGCTTGGGCTGTAATATTTAAGCCCATAAAGTTGTGTGTTTTGGACCTTATTCCACCTTACTTGGGGAACTTTTAATTTGGTTTTGAGCCCCGTTTGACTTTTAATTTGTGCTAATATCCTCCCGTTTGTCAATTCCATCACAATTTTCTGTTAATTCAATCACGAGCAGTACATATGATCAACTTTTAAGGCACATACATCTAAAGAGCATTGATCACGTCAAACTAAATAACATCTAAAGAGCGTTTTTTTACAGCCTGGTGGTATTCCTCTTCACTTGGATGTGAGAAGTCTTAAGTTCGAATCTCGTGGATAGAGGTTGCCGATTGTGTGGTTTAGTTGAACTCATCTTCTATGTGTAAAAATATCGATGCACTCATAAAAAATAAAAATAAAACAACAGAATGTGTCCGTTTGATAGCCTGGCCCTTCACTCTCATTCCACGCCGCCCGATGGGATTCACCTTCTTTGCTTGTTCCACGTGAAAAGAGTGCGTGCACAATGTGTACCTTCGTTATGTATACGCATGTATTTGAGACATAAAATCAATGGCTTACAAAAGAAAATGTCAAAGTTATCCCACTAAAAAGGTGCTAACTACTTGTCCCTTTCGATCAGGGGTGTACATACTATTGTTCTAAAAATCTCTGCTTAGGTGCTAGGTGGTTAATCACTGCTCTGATTAATCCACAAGCTTTTGAAAATTAAGAAATGATGCCTAAACCTGCTTAGTACTTTATAATCTATATGTTATTCTATTTTGTATTAATTTATGTATCACAATACACTTATGTATTTTTAAGTATAAGCATACACTTATTTATACGATGCATAATAAATTTACTAAAATCTGCCTAGTCCACCTAAGCTATGCCTAAGTGCTAGGTCACAGCTCACCGCCCGACTAGCACCTACCGTCTTTTAGAACTTTGTTACATACCCAACATAAGTTCATCTGGCGCCCATATTGCTGTATCATTCACCTGAGCTGTCTGAATCAGGAATGATTTTAAAGTAGAATCAGTTGTTGTTCTAGCTAGTGTTCTTGATCACGATACTTATTGCACCAAAGTTTAGTATGAAGGTGTCAACTACCCTGGTATTGGTGAAAATATCGTAAGAATAAGACTGAAAATTATATATTCCTTGAACAATGGCTATGAGTTTCTGATAGACCCAACCCCATCCTGCATGTGACCCATTACTGACTGTATATAGACAACAGGAAAGCACGTAACACAACTCCTACAAAGCCATAACATACAGTACCTGCAACGGTGTTGATTCAGTTTGTATCAAAAAACGAGTGATGGTCATTTTGGCTACAAACAAAATGATTGAGAACTTCAGATCGAAAAATGAACCAAAAAACAAGTGATGATCAGACTATCCCCGATTACAAACCTAGAAGAATAGTTTGTTGTTGTGGATGGAATTCCATGCGAGCTCCTTACATTAGATCCTTGAATAAGGGTACGGACAACAGCCTTAGGAAGATCATCTTGCGAATAGACATTGGAACCAGAAAAGGACCCCTGAAAGACCATGGTGAGCATAGGTATTTTCGTCATTATTTGTACTAGAAGAAGGGTGAGTGAGATCTTACTGCTTATTACAAGTAACAAAACATGGTAATTGAGCTTGCAAAAAAATTGTTTCTTGTCACACCTCATCAGCTTGGACAGTGCGAATACGCTTCATCAAGTGCTCTGAATCAGCTGATTGATAATCCATCCCTGTAACACCTGTACGGGTCCGTGGGTGCTTCCAGAAAGCAACTGCGCTAGAAGGCTGCATCCAGAAGGAGCTGCTGCAACAGTAGTGGTGGCGCAAAGAAGGATTAGCGCTTCACATTCACCCAGCAATGGCAGCAGGAGATGGGAAGACAGCAGGTTGAAATGGCTGCACAACGATAAATAGTCAATCATATCCAAAGTACTGTTAGAAATTGTTGCACTCTTTTATGCCGATGATTAGGTGCAACTTCCACCAGGGGCACCAATAGGAGGAAATGCGTCAGTCTTTGGAATTGGTCCTATAAGAGATCTCAAATGCTTGGGCTAGAAGCCAAATATTTTAGTCCGGAAATTTTAGCTTTTAGCCTAGAAACAGTTTTTCTGCTCCAACCGTTCTGGCCTAAAATTTTAGTCCTGGATTATTAAAGAATGAACTTAGGCTATTTTTTTTTGTTAAATTAAATTTTAAAAAATAAATAAATATGTAGACTATCGTAAATTAATTTTATGAACATTTTAATCTAAAAAAATTTTAATTCCGATAAATATTGAAAAATCACTAAATTTTTCTCAAAGCAAGCCTTCAACTTTCACCAATCTTTCAACCCTGGTGAATTTTAAGTTAAATAATTTTTTTTAATTATTTTAGCCTTTGGATTTAAATTTGGGTCGTTAGATAATTTTTTTACCGTTAGATTTGATTATATTCGATTTCAGTCATTGGATTCAATAATATATAAATATAAAAACAAAAAAAAAATTTGAATCTAGGCTATTGGATTAACCAACGGCCTGTAGATCGTGACCGTTGGATGGAAGTAGCCATTGGAGGCGCTGCAGAACATGGCCAACAGGCCCACGTGGGCGGGGCCCTCGCTGTCTGAGGCATTGTGTGTCGTGCGAGTTGGGCGAGTGGGTGGGCTGCGTTTGGCGCACAAACGCCCCTTTTCACTCGGTTCGGTGGAGCCCACCCTGATTTCTAGGTTAAATTTTGGGGGGAATTTGGCATTGATTTAGCATTTAATATTTGGCTCAAATTTTCCCCTTGGGTTGGATTGGGTTTGAGGGGAAATTTTTTGGGGGGGGTAATTTGGCTTTTAGCCTATCATTAGAGTTGGTCTAAGAGGACTATTTCATCCACCTACTCGCCTGAGTTCACTCACTTAACTCGGTCTCTGACTCCTTCAACTCGCTTGTCAACTCGGTTCCCGACTTCGACGAGTTGAACGACTTATTTTATGAGTAAATTGAAGGTGATTGATGTCTACAATTTGAATGAGTAAATTGAAGGTGACAGCCATTGTGCACTAGGGTTTCATTGGCCCCGTATGTTGCCATTCATACTATTTTTGTCTTCTTTTAATTTTTGTTTTATATTTCTGTAAAATATTCATGCTGAACTGTTTCAAGTAATGTATGTTGTCATCCACATCAATTATCAAAGCCCTAACAGAACATGCCCCCACTCTATTTTAGTGATTGATGATGATGCGCACCCATAAATTATACCTTTCATTTTGTGGCCAAAACCCTTTCTGCCGAAATGGAGAATATCCTCGTGTCTATAGTAGTTATCACGTGCAGTGACATTCTGTCACTGGGGGATCGATATATCTTCTTGTGTCTATATCACTTATCACATGTCATTCACGTTAAAATATGTTTAATCATTCGGATCATATTCAATTTGTTGTTTTTGGCCTTCTCTTCCCGGCCTATGGTTTCAAGTTTTCACTTGCTGCAATATATTTCTTGATGTCCCACAATTCATAGAAGTCAGTTTGACCAAGAAATATAGCTATTAATATATGGGTTGGTCGGATGCTTAAGTGAAATTAGGGGACAAATTATCCTGAGTTAACGGCTTTAACGCACGAAAATCATTTTCAATTTTCAAGGAGGGAATGTTACAAGCTTAGCAAACTTATCAAATTTTTGTGATGTGTTATAAAATAATGTAATGTGAAACAATCACAAGCCATAAAATTTGGGGTGATGTTAGAGATACCATATACTTGAATCATACTCTATAAATCACATGATGTGGGAGTTGAAGGTTGAAATTGTTTAAATCACTAAAAAAAAAATTCAATCACCAACCATCATATCATATGATTAACAAAAATTTGCTTTGTTAATTAATTATCTTGTTCAGGTCCTCAAGTAATCCTTTAAATAAGGATTAGTGTAACTTTTGGGTTCGGTAAACCAAGGCACCAAGAGTTGATATAATTGGTCAAGTGATTATTTAAATTAATTAACTCAAAATTAGGAGGAATATTTTAGCCATCTAAACACTACTACGTTACTTTTTTCTCTTATATTATAAAACGCGTGCTTGTTTTTTAACTAATATATCTCAAAAATAAAGTTTATAAATTACGTTGTTCACACGTGAAATAATACATCATGTAACAAGTATTATGAAAACAAATAAAAAATCTCCAAAAGTAGGTGCTAGGAAGGAAAACATGATATAGATGAAGATATATGGAAAAATCTTACAAGAACAAAAATACTAACTTTGGTCAATAATCCATTTGGCGTGGAGGAAGCGTCATTTGCTCTTCATAGCTGAATGGATAGGCTCGCGGTTGAATTTTTGAATGTTTATTTGGGCCCCACGTGTTTGTTTTTCTTTTGTAAGTGGGTCCACCTAAGTTGGACCAACCTAGATAAAGAGAGAGGTTATTCTTGTAAAGATGGTGAGGTCCAAAAATGGAATGCTATTTTTTGTATTTAGTTTCCAAATTTTCGCTTAAGTAGGAAGGAATGCTTTCTCTTTGTTTGTTGCATGCGTATGTAACCCCTTGCCATTGTTGAAACTTGAAACCTTTTAGTATTCTACGAGTGAAATTATATACATTTTACGTTTCGGTAATACTAGGAAGACAAACTATTTAAATGATATTTTGTAAATCATATAAAATGGGTGTTGATTATTGAATTATCTTGATTAATATGTTTATTTTATATTTATGACATATCACATAATTTACAAATTTGGTTTAAAAAGTTGGTCTACCTAACATTATTCTTTACGTTTTTTGTCAACCAAAATAGAGCTAAAGCATGTGTTTTTCTAATCTAAAACCACATAGAATCCGACCAGAAAAAGAACAATATAAAGTTCGAATTGGTGTTTTTGTTTCTTCAAAACAAGTTATAGTACGAGAGGCTGAAATCGAAAATAAGACTTCGAGCACAAAGCTTTTAATCACATGACTAGTCAGTTTAATGACTTCGGTCTTTATTAGGTAGAAGAGATTCTAAGTTCGACTCACAATTATGCGAAAACAATATATAGTTATAATAACTAGTGTGTTCAATACTAATTTGTAGCACAATTTAACAAATTGATGTAAAAATATCTTCATGCATATCATATTATTTAAAAAAAAATCACTTAAATTATTACAAGTAATATTCTATATTAATTTACACTAAAAGGAGATCTGCACTAAATTCCTAGTAGTTGATTTAAGTCTTCAAGCATGCTTCACTTCATTTCTCATGTAAATTTCTTATTAAGATGAGAAATGGAATACAAGTAGATTCCATTTTAGCTTTTTATCCGAACTAGTATGAAACATGAGTCATGCATCCAAAGTAGTATGAACATCATGAGTCATGCATAGGTGATAGGTAATAGGCCTTCATGGGAGTGTAGTGTGTAATTCCTATCAAATTTTCAAATCAAATAGTTGATGAAAGACCAAAGGATATGAACGAACGACATGCCGTATGAAGCAATGGGCAGGCTTGAATCGATTGCAAGAAATGGTAACCCTAAACATTATTTATTCTTTTACGCACTTTAATAGAATCCGACCTCAACTAAATTAATTATTTTCATGCATAAGAATACTAGATTACAATCAACCAACATTTAGCAAATTTGAAAAAGAGCCAAAAAAATGGTATGATTCACTTATTTTTATTTTTTGAATTGAGAGATTCATAAATCAGAATCGTAATGCATATATTAATCAAACAGAAATAATGTACGATTATAATTAAAAAAAAATGTAGTTGTTATTTCTCTTAAATTAGTTAAGCAGCATTTCGTGACTAACGAGAAGAATTAACAGGGCAAGAGAATAAGAGTAATTAATGTTATACTTGCCACCTAATTATACCATGATCTGTACTATCTTTCTAAAAATTATAATTCACAAACTAAACATATATTATGAAGAAAGGAGAGTACTCGGTATCACAACTACTGCAGAAACCCGAAAATTCTCTCGTGACGTACGAGAGTTTGACTGAGGTCTTGTGGTCAGATAATCGGACGACGGTTGTTCGTTATTTAATTGATTCGATGTGATGGAAGTATGGATTAAAATGGAAACACCAGCGCAAAAGCCTAAATATTCTCTCTCCTTCTTCGTCATCGTCGACACGTTTCGCCACCACATGAGCTCTCCTCTGGTGAAAACCTCTCGGCTCCTGCAACGTGTCCACTGCCTCCGTCGCCTTCAGCAGTCGCTTGCCGCCGTCACCATTTTTGCAAAATCCCAGCGCCAGCTACTGCACCAGTTTTCTTGACATGTTTGGATTATATATGTGTTTTATATTGACTAAGACCCTAAATCATGTCGTGTTCGGTATAGGGCAAATTCGGTGGTGCTATACATATATTTATTTTATCTTTCACACATTTATTAATTTTGAGTCTCCAAATTAAATGAATTTAAAAAAAATTAATGAACAAAATTTAACAAGAATGTGTAAGAAGTAAAAAAAAAAAGTGTAAATAGGATAACCTATTCAATTACATGCGGTGTTCTAAACCTTTCCTAATGTTTTTTAACTTGCCATATTACATTTTAAGTTGCTAATAAGTTCTTATCGTATATGTATTTTAGTTGGCATGCTTGTTCTAATTAATTCTCAACATTATAGAGACACTTACAAGCATCTACTCTATATATTGTCGATAAAACATGTAACAATAGTTTACAAATATCTCCAATGTTGTTGTCTGTGTTGCTGTTGTCGTTCCTTTAATATGCAGTCTTGCAAAAAGTTGCAAGTAGCTGCCCAAATTATATAGGTAAATAAAGAACTGAGATCTTCTCCAGATTTTTGAGCCTGACGAGCTTAAAAACTTAAAGATCTGGGCCGTTAAAGAAAGAGATTAGGACTCTTAGTTTGTGTAAGATGGACTAGTATCATGGATTAATGAGAATCGTAGAATTGAAATTAAGTGTCTGAATCTCTTAGCATGCGCTCTGATTCATCCTTTACGTTCAAGAAAGACAAATGGAAAAGTAAAAAGAAGAAACTTGGTAAATACAGAGAGGTAATTATGCAGTGCATGAAAATTCATCCCTAGCTACCTCATTCTCTAGTGGTCAGAAAGAACCCACCAAAGTGTAAAGGGCATACACACAATAGATAGATAGAAATGGATTTGGATCCCATCCGGATCCAAATTGTGGGATCCTCACATCTTAATCATTCTTCGTACATCGCGTAGTCAGAAATCCTTTGATTTGTTTTTTTTAAATTAAACACAATTAATACCTAACGAAAACTGACCGAACGATATACGATAAATGGATAGAATGCGATGATCCCAAGGATCCTCACAAAAAGAATCCTAAGAGGATCCTCATCCGATAGAAATAGATATAGATATACTCATTATATATATAGACTCCCACACGAAGGATGAATAGCGACATTGACCATAGGAAAAATAATTTATATTCTACTAAACTACTTATGTGCATGTACACATTATTCTCAAATGTATGTACATGAACAGTAACTCAAACGAGGGTTGGTTCAGTTGGTCAAGTTCCTACCTTGTATGTCTCTCTGCCCAAGGTTTGAATTTCACTGCTAACAATCTTCGTTGGTGTGCGATATGTAAATTCCTATATAAATGCATATGATGCTGGTGGTAGTTGATAGTTAGGAGTGTATGACGCTGATGATGAGAGTAACCAATATCTCCCAAACTTTTTATTACAAAAAAAAAAATTGATTTATATACACACCTCTTCTCTTTCAGGCACGTTTGTTTACCTATGATTTTGATTTATTTATTTTATTCAATTCAAAAATAAAAATAAATATAAACGTGCATAAAAAATAGTGTGTGAATATTGTTCTCATGTATACATACTATGAAAACGAAAGCAGTAAAAGACGAAACTACCGTCTCTCTCCTCTCTCCTCTCTCTTCTCTCTCTCACACATATAGTTGGCCAACACATGGAACCGCACCACATGTACACAGTACCATCATCTCTTTCAGCATAGTGCTTCATCTTTGCCTTTAAGACTATCTGGGTTTGAAAAGTGGGTGGTTTTTCCTCTCTCAAAAGACTCCACATAGCTTTTTCTCTCTACCCTTTTCTCCTCGTTAATCCATGGACACAGCTCACTGGCCACAGGTAAAGCGAAAACCTTTTCTTTTTTTCCTCCATGAAATCATGAAATTATCATCTAGGGTTGAGTTTTTCAAAGTTAATATTTATAAGAAATATCTTAAGCTTAATAGCTTTGGGTTTGGAAAATTATCTTCCTTCATATATAAGTTGGTTTTAAAGTTGTATTAATTTGCTTTTCTTCTTTCCACTAATAGTGGCTGAATTTATATTGTTGTATCTTCCAAAGGTCTTTCATTTTTTGTCCTGAAAATTTAAAGTACTGCACTTTTTCTTTTCTTTTTCTTCTTCCCATCATCTGATAAAGTAGGTTGTTTTCTTTCCTTTTACTTTCTTCTCTCCATCTTTGTCTTAATTTTTTCGGAGTGACAACATATATACTCTTTTTTGGTGGGTTTTCGATCACCAAAGTTATGGCCTTTTCTTGTCGCTTTTTTTTTTTGGGTTTATTTTTATATTTTATTTTCAGGGTATTGGAGTGGTTAACTCCATGGAAGATTTTTCTTCTACAAGGCCAATCACAGAGAGAAGGGCAAGGCCTCAAAAGGATCAAGCTTTGAATTGTCCAAGGTGCAATTCCACCACCACAAAATTCTGTTATTACAACAATTACAGCCTCTCTCAGCCAAGATACTTTTGCAAGACTTGTAGAAGGTATTGGACTGAAGGTGGATCTCTGAGAAATGTTCCGGTGGGTGGAGGGTCACGGAAGAACAACAAGAGATCAAATAATTCCGATTCATCATCACCGTCCACGTCTTCAGCGAAGAAGGTTGCTCATGATCGTGATCACCATCTGACCCCACAAAGTAATTTTCCTTCTCAGTCTGCTTCTCAAAACCCTAATAAGATCCACTTCCAAGGTCAAGATCTCAACCTTGCATACCCACCAGCTGATCAGGAACATGACAACAATAATATTACCGAACTACCCTTCAGTATGGAGACTATTGACAACAGAACCTACCACCACCAAAACCCTAGCTCCTCAGCCACTACTACCACATCTCATCATTTCTCATCGGCTATGGAACTGCTCAAAAGTACTGGGATTGCATCAAGGGGGCTGACTTCTTTCGTGCCGATGGCGGCGGTGGAGGTGCCGGATCATTCGAGTAACATCACAATGTTTTCATCTGGGTTTCCGATGCATGAGTTTAAGCCAAGTGGGCTTAGTTTTTCTCTAGATGGGTTTGAGAGTGCTGGATTTGGTGGCTGTCTTCAAGGGGTGCAAGAGACTACTAATACTAGTCATGCAAGGCTTTTGTTTCCTACTGCTCAGGATTTGAAGCAGCAGATTCCGAGCTCTACTACTGCTGCTGCTGATTTTGATCAACACAATAATAGAGGAGGAGAAGGAGGTTCCGGTGGTGGGTATTGGAATGGAATGCTAGGTGGCGGATCATGGTAATGCAATTGCCAGAAAAGAAACAAAAAAAGTAGTGATCTAGAAGAAAGATCGGTATTTGGTTTTGTTTTTCTTCATTTGCTTGGATGGCTTGTTTGGAATTGGAGTTGATAACGAACAAAGTAATAGGGTACATGAGTTTTTCTTCCCCTTTTTCATCATCAGTGTTAATTATACTTGATCTGCCTTGTTCTTTCTCCCTCTCGGTTTTCTAGTATGCTTAGGATATCCTGTACACCAGAGCATAGTAGAATTTTCGCTCATTCTCACCCTCCTCCTTATTATTTTTTTTCCTTTATTTTGTCCTTAATCAATGTGCATGTTTGAAAATTTATTATTGGTTTTGCTTCAAAGGGGTGTCTCATGAATCATGAGGAATTCTTTACAAATATTCATGAAAAGAAGGTCAAGGATTTCCCCTATTTCCCTGTTAGGGTTTCATAACGCAGAGAAATTACATGATTACTCCTATAGAGATTACTTCTTGATCATCTACCACATGCAGCAGCGTACGATGCAGTTCTTTAGGATTTCCTGCTGAAATTCAATGATTTATTTTCATTATGTTTTCGGTTAGCTTAGTTAACAAGTGTCGGTAATTAATTTGTCAATTAAGTTGTGTACACAGAGATTAAGGACTTATTTTATATGTTTACTTTAGTAGTTAACACTTGGATTTGTGGGTTGATTGTGTACGTATTTAGAGAGTGTATTAGCAGTTGAGGTTGGATTATTTATTGGTTAAGTAATATTAAAGGTGAGTTGGAATGATGGCTGTCAATCCTTTATTAGCAAAAGTTTCTTCTTTTTGCTTGGCAACAGATCAGAAATGTCAGGTCTTTTCAGCACCATCTGCGCCTTTGAGATTCTTCCACCCATTAACTCCACCACCCCCCACCTCCCTCCTGCTCTTCATGAATCTTCATCATCACCCGCACAAGGAGATGATTTTTCAAGAACAATGAGTAGGTATGCAAGACCCAAACACTATTTATTTTAAATTAAATTCTATAAACCCTAAGCAAATCTGGGTCTGCCGTCAACAATATAAATTAGAGAACTCTGCTTTTAGGAACTTCATTTTTTACGGTAACGAAAGTGAGACGATAGATTCAATCTCCCTAAGGCTCATGTATAATATAAGACTACCTTTGCATTTAAGAAAACATGAAAAAAAAGGGGTGAATATGTAAGAAGTCTTTTATATGATGAATGCATAGTTCGGTGGTCCTTCACCTATTTTCAAAGAGCTCTCGAACCCCTTGACTAACTTGCACTCCCTTCGTTATTGACCCAAAAAAGAAAAGAAACTTGCAGTACTCCCTTTGTTGGCTAAGAAAAGTTTTTCAAATTGCGGATACTTCATATGTTATAAAATAAGTAGAATAATACAAAAAAAAATATAGTGTTTTCTCCACTTATAGTATCATGCAGAGTACTGCTTAAATATCTAATACTTAAATTTCTCATTGGCTATGGAGGGCCACCACAAACATTCCCATCCGTCGGTCACCATGCTAGGGAATAATCTTGTCCACTCTACAAAATCCTCCCAGATGTAGACCCTCATTCATTAATTAATATAATATGTAATTAGATTCATACATTGAGATAAGATAGATTGACTTTCTACTTTCCATATAGTTGTTCCATCTTTTTGTCTTGGTAAATCGATGAGAACTAGCTACGGTTATAGCTCCTCTTGCTAGTCACAGTGATATATGTAGATGGAGGTGCACCACCCACCATGAACATCCCTTTCTTGCCAAAACTTAGGCATCTACAATCTACTCCACCAATCTCTCCTTGCTTTTCACTTTTAACATTTTTTTTCCTCGCAAAACTTGTTAAGATATATGGAAAGATTCTCCTAATTATGCCACTAATGCACCACATATCAATCGTCTTTTTAAACACGACAAACATTTAGATATGGGATAGCAAGCTGTTTTACATTTTTACTATAGTGAATCTTTTCTTTCTTGTTTGTACATATTTTTGTCAATGATAAGCAGTCGAATTAAAGGGTACATTTTTGCGCACCATCCTTGGTGATGATGTTCATCACCCTATTTATCGCGGTTATATGTGTTTAAATTTTGAAATTTGTGTCTATCTATTACACAGATTTTGAAATTTAAACTCATCTGGTAGTACTAAATAGGACAATGAGCATCACAATCACTTAAAGGTGTCGAGCACAAATACTCCCCAAACTTGTTTGTGCATTGGGATCATATATAGTATTGGGTAGCAGAAGTTATAGAACGTTGGCCGGATACAGTACGTACTACCTACACAATTTACACAACGCATGTATAATCCATCAACTGCATACATGCCTACAGTTATACATTTGTTCATTACCTTAGGATCATTTTCCTGCTTTTTGGGTGATACTTAACCATGTGCCAATTATATATTTCTCAAATCATCATATCACCTTCATTAGGGTTCTAATCACCACGTCTCCTGTAAAGCGTACTGCTGCTCAAATATTACAGCTAGCTAGTTGCACATTAAATAAATTTGATTTTATGGTAGAATCCTAACTTTTTTACAGTATGTGAAAGTAAATTGGTCTTTTGACTGGTGTAAAATTACCACACACACATGACTCTCAATTGCTAAAACCGTAAAAAAGTTTGATGGAATCAAGTTATCTTTGAACTGCGATAAATATCATCAAATTACAAGAACCTATATCACGGCAGTTAAAACTACAAGAACTAAACTGTAACTTCATGCAGCATTGGTCCGGCAAGTAATTTTATGTTGTCAACAGATTTGAAATCTTATAGCCAAGCCAGTCCAGCTCCTTATTCAGGCTCTTCTTTTTGCTAGAATAAAAAATAGCAATAGTACAGGTACATGATATGATGCCTCTTGCGTACAAAAACCCTAAAAAACTTCATCGCATGGAAAAACCCTACTACTCCTCTCAGTCCGCCCTCTTACGTTAAGGTACTGCTATTCGGATGGCTCAGATGGCTCAGGATGATGATCATGCTGCTCCTAATCAGATGGCTCAGATGGCTCAGCGTGATAAAGGGTTTTGGTAGCATGTGGTAACAAGTAGTGAAGTCCAATCAAAGTATTAGGTTTCGGAGATATTTACGCTTATAAATTTGTTCTTTCCAAGTACAGCTATCCAGTTTACTATTATTTCAACCTGGCAACTATTTCCTGGAAACCTACTAGAGGAAAAATCAAAGGTGCATTTGTTGCACCGTACTATTTCAAACTATATTAACTTCAGGGACTAAGGTGTACTCAGTAATATAAGAACAATGAAGCGTTTGGTACAATGTTGGCCTAAGCTATGGGAGATGTTGACAACTCTAGTTATGGGCCCCAGATGCTATGAATTGTATAAAAATGCTACAAAAAACTCCTATAGCATTTGAAAAATGCTATGGAAAAAGTTTATTATAGCATTTTGGAATTGATATAGTATACTTTTCATAGCATTTACAAGCTATAAAGGGTGATAATAGCATTTTACACTTTCTATATCATGGCCTAATATATCAAGAAGCAAGCGGCCTTTTATCACAGTAGTAGAAAAGTATTGTGCTCTTGCATGATGACGTGGATTCAAACCTCATCGGTTGCTAATTTAATATTTATTCTAACAAAATCTATCGTTTCAAAAATCTGTTACTCAGAATATTCATTTACAAGAAGAGCCATGTCGTAGATGTTACAGATACAATTTTCAGAATCTAAAAACAGCTCTCTGGTTGGGGATACTCGACTGAATGTGTTTAATTTTAAGCCTACTTCCTTCATCAAACACCGTCTCCATGATATAACCGCCGTCAAACTTCATAAGAACAGCTATAAACCTACGGGCAGCAGAAAACAAAACTTTGAAAGCGGAGTAGGCGGGTGACTGTCCGTGACTGTTAGAACTTATCAGACTTACATAACAATAAACAAACAATATACATGGCCTTACCATGATTTGAAACTACGTGCCTCGGCGATACTCCAATTGCTTTGTATTCTCTAGTAATACCTACCATAGAAAACCCAGATTAAAATTCCAATAAAGATGGCAATACTGCAACAAAAAATGAAGCAAACTCTCATTGAGCAACAAGCACTGTCCAAATACAGTGGCTACATGTCAAGGCAGAACTTATCACTGCAGGGGAGGAAAAATAGAGCAAAAAAGTGCTTACTTGTCGAATATATGTTGCAACTGCCTTGCAGCCCTCGATTGCAAGTTGCATTACGTTTTCAAAAATGTCCAACGGTAATTTAGCATCCATCTGCATCAACGATCATCACGAATAAGTGGTTTACAAAAGGCGCTACAAAGAAGACACTGTACATGCCAACTAACACAACAATTGTAACTTAACATTGTGACAACAGATTGAGAAACAAATATGACAATTACCTGAAGAAGAGTCACTTTGTCCAACTTTGGCATAATGCCTAAAGTGACATCAGCGCCTCCAGCACTATCTTCTACATAGTTTAAATCTGCCAAACCAGCAACAATAAGCTCACATGAATATTACAATGGCCTTACAGGAGCCGTACAAGCATAAGGTAACGTAAAAGTTTACCAAGTAGAGGTGTGCTATTAAGGTAGCCCGCACTACAGGAAGTAACAAGGTCACGCATTGGAATTCCAGCATCTGAAAGGGCCAGGGTTGCAGCATTGATACATGCAGATCTAGTACCTGCCAAAGATAAAATAAATAAAATAATCGAACTCAAGGATAGATCTTTCCGTTCTTCAATTAAAACATTGAAGCAACCTGTTCAAATCCAAAAGTATTTGCTAAATAGTAAATAGTTAACATTCTAACCGATACACATATAACAGGGACAACCATGGTACTTTGTTAACAGTGAACACTATCGATCACATCTCTATTTCCATACGATGCAACAACAGCGATAACTATTAATGAACTGCCTGCAGCATAGGTTGACCCTCAAACACGAACTACCTCAATAGTAGTTAAAAAACAGAAACAAACAAACAGCTTTAATAAATTCAAAAACAAGTGGTTAACGTACATGAAATGACATGAGGAGGCTTCGTTTTTCAGAAAATAAGCCTGGATCTACAAATATCTTGACTGACAGGACCAAACATTCACACACACAAAGGAAACATATCATATAGGACCTACGGCTGCAATGAGACATCGGGATTTACCTCCATCTGCTTGGAGAACTTGCACAAAAATATCAATCTGCAGTAAACAGATACAAGGCTCAGAAAAGAACAAACTAAACATTCATCGAAGAAAAGTTCCCAAGATGCATCAGTAGAACCTGAGTCCGAGGCATTAAATGAGTCATAATGCATGCTTCCATGGTTTGCCGAATAACAAGAGAAATCTCTGTGGATCGTCTGGACAGCATCAAAGATACACATTTTAATGCTATAGTTTAATTTAGTTATGGATACAACACTCTTATGTTGAATTTTATATTGATGATGATCCAAAGCATGTATCTATGAACATGAAATAGAATAGAATATATCACCTATCACCCTTTGGTTTCCTCATGCGATCTCCAGTACTAAAATTTGCCATGGTGTACTCACATCGCACCTAAACTTATTAACAGTTGCAAACGACATTACATATGCCTGTCAGGTTTATCATACTAACCACAACATAGATAAGTTTAACACACAGAGACTTAGATGAGAACTATTACCAGTGCCCTGTCATTCATCTGTTGGCTCCTATTTGGGACCTAGAAAACAAAAGTACATTAACAGCTGGAATGAATTAAAATTGAAAATTGTACAAGACCTTTTAAATAATAATGAGTACCACGCACAAGATCATTAAAATTTTATATCAAAATTATAGAATGAAGAGAAAGTGTTGGCTAACCTCTCGAGGGCCATACACTGCAGCAATGACTTTGGTGTTCCCCATCTCAAACACAGCAGAACTGAAATTTGATATGAAAGATCATTTTTTTTTTTTTTAAATTACAAAGATTAGAAAAGAAGAATCAAGGCTTTAGTAATTCAAACCCGTCAGCTTTGTCCACAACACCAATCTCTCCTCGAATTTGTCTCATCTGGGATCAGAGAAAATAGATTTAGTTCATAAATATAATTGACAACTTATAACGATTATGATTGAATAAAATGGAAAATTGAGAGATGGAAAATTACTTCCATGGGCCGCCGACCATCTAAGCGAAGACCTTCTGGGCTCACGTACTCCATCTGTTAGAACTTCGTAACAACCAACTTAGGAAACCACATAGATAACAAGAACAAATAGTAGCTAAACCAATCACTGTCTAAAATTTAAACGCCATGACAACCAAACTACAAAGTTCCATAAATTAATGCATAATGGCTTTGTTTCAGCAACAATATGGCTATGCTATATCATGGTTCATGCCTATACTTATCAAAAAATTAGACAAGCAAGACGGAAGTAACAACAACAACAACAACAAAGCCTTTTCCCACTAAGTGGGGTTGGCTATGTTGTTGTTGTTGTTAAAAGGATTCGACGTAAACTAGGAGTGCCGGCTGTCGACTAACCAAAAGGAAGTAATGAAAGACGGAAGTAAATCAAGAAAAAAATACTTCACTAACCAAAAGGAAGTAATTCAAATAAAGAACGCTAACTCTCAGAGAAGAAGCTAACTTTGTTTTCACCTTCCCTTCAACACCCTCAACAACTCTTTACACTCGCAAGAAAAAATCAGTAACGAAAGGACCACCTTTTATCTTTTAATCATGAAACCCATTACAGCAGAAACCGTTCTCAATTAAGACAATGAACGGGTATGGTGGAATACTCAAATCATTGGAACCCACTTCCTAATGACTCTCAAATGCAGAATAAACCACGATAATGTTAATCTGTTATGGGCATACACTAAATTTCTAAACACTAAATTAGATTTCTGACTCTCAAAGACAGAAATTAGATTTCAAAACACTAAATTAATTACCTAATTTGGGGTGAGAGTGAGACTCGGACTCAGTGTGGTGGTGAGAGAGATCGCGGGTTCTGTTCTGTCCGTGAGAGAAAATCGCCCGAGAGAGAGATCGTTAGAGATAGCGGTGGTTGTGTGGTGAAGGAAGGCTGGAGAGTCAGAGACGACAGTATGGTGTGGTGGTAGGCCGGTGGCTGGCCGGAATTCGACAGAGAGAGTCAGATGAGAGATGAGGGCTCGGCGAGGGAGGGCTGCGCTTCGAGTTCGATGGATGGAAACAAATGAACCACTGGAAGATTTTGGAATGGTTAGAGAGCAGCGGTTTTGTGTTAGGGTTTGAAATGATGAAGCAGTGCACTCATGGTGTTGGGCTCCAGGTCAGAAATAGTCCAGCCCGCAGCACTTTTGGGTTTTTATTTTTCACCGCCTTCTTTGACGCTCTCATGCAAAATACCCGCGGATCTGGGTTATCCGCCTATTTAAATTTCACGGTTACAGTTATGGGTAATCGTTTAGATAAATAAACGGTTATGGGTATAACCGTTTACCCATGAAATTTTAAGGAAAACTAATGAAAAGGGCTTGAAAACTTTGAGTTTTAATGATAAAGACAAAATAAAGGGTAAAATGAATAGTACCATGATTGACTTTTTAGTGTAAAAATGTGGTTTTTCGTTAAAGTGAACAGTACCGGGTGCTTTTCATTAAAGTTCCCTTTATTTTATATATGTAAAATTAACACAAACCATGTTTTATATCTAACAAAACTTAGATCAATGCTATTGACTATAGTGCATGGTTTATATAGCTAATTATATATATATATATATATATATTATGTTAATACTTTACATTATAGGTTAAATAACTCAAGAATATTGTCTTCTAAACAGTTTTCGTAACAAAAAATACTTAACAAATATTATATTACCTTCATTGGTAACATGGATTAGTAGTAAAAGTTTTCCCAAAAGATTAGGAAAATAAATAACAATTCCCCTCAGCCCCACTCGTTTAATTCAACCCAAGACCTGTTCCTCAAACATGTTGCAACTTGCCATTTCAACTAATCCCTCACTTTTGTTAGCATTGTTACTGCAATTTATATATCCTATATTCCAATTTTGTTTTGTAAAACTAATTTTCTTGCTTTTTCATTCTATATCAATTAAAAATATCGTTCGTAAATTATTATTTCAATTATTGGAATGATATAAGGACTGAAAAACTTAAAATATGGAAATGTATGATGAATGTACCTATTACGGTGTTTAATTGTTATAAAAAAGAAAATTATGACAATTTTGTTTTTTAATTTTTAAGTTGTTAAAAAACATGTAGACGGGTGAAAATGGGTAATGGTAAAAAAAAAAAAAAAAAAAAAGATAAACGGGTAAAAAGTGTAAATGGGTAAACGGGTATTAAACGGTTATGATTAAATGGGTATGGGTATAACCGTTTAGGCAATTACCCAACGGGTAAACGATTATGCGGGTATGATCATAAACAGTTATGGGTAAATAACCGCAGTTACCCGCCCGCCATAACCGTTGCTCATCCCTACTCATGGCCCTTTTGAACCAGGTGTGCCCATTCCCTTTTCTTTTCTCTTATTTTCTGTTTTATTTGTTATTTTATATTTCTTTTATTGTTTTTTTTCCTATTTTTATTGTCCTAGTTTACTTACTTTATCTTTGTTAGTTGTTTTAAGTATTTATTTTAGGACTTATTATTTTTGTTCCTTTTCATTTATTTTATTTTCCACACCTTAAGGACAATGTGTGATTTAAGTTTGGTGAAAGAAAATAAGAACTTTTAGATTTATTTATTTATTTTTGAGTCAAATAAAAATTTTCATTCTTTTGAAGTTAATATTCATAGATTATTTTAAACGTTATAACAAATGAACATGATGAAGATTAATCTCATAGTAGAGTCTTTCTATTTTTCGTTGCTTAGACACTAATTCATGAGTATACTTTGAAAATTTGCACGTTCACACCAACATGGTTTGTGGGAAGTGAGATTGAAATACTTACTTTTTGTCTGATTTAATTTTTAATTTTTAAAGGCCCGTTACATAAAGAGCCATTACCGTTGTTTCTTTTTTACTATTGAAGAAGAAAGGTGACTCAATTTGTTGACTCTGATCTGATACACTGCAGAAATTCTACCTTATAGGTAACTTTTTGTGTATTGTCTTGCAAAAACTGTTACAAATTTGCCCAAATAAATTAATACAATTATTTGTGCATGGTACGTGGGACGGGACGGGACGAGGCGTTCCGTCCCGCGTTTGGTGCGCCAAAAATGGATGGAACGGGCTGTTCCACGGGACAGATTTTGAGTGTTTTTGCGTTCCACCTCCCCCCTGGAACGGGTTTGTTCCACGTTTGTGGAACGCAATGTTTTACCATTTTAAGACAAATATACCCCATGTCTTTTTCAAAAATTACACCTTCGTTCCGTCCCGTCCCGTTCCGTTCCGTCCCGTCCCGTCCCGTCCTGTTCCGTTCCGTTCCGTTCCGTCTGCGTACCAAACGCACCCTAACTTATAACTCATTCGTCCTTCATTCATGTAGCTCAATTCTCTCCTCGTATTTTTTTCTCTGCTTCTTTCCATGTCCTTGATCGTAAGCGTAAATCCTTCAACTTCTGTGCAGCACCTTGCATTTTTGGTCAAGCGAAAGAAGGTCCTTTCAATTGATGCCCAAGCTTGGAGAAGTTCTTCTCCATAAAATTCCTTACTGAAAGCACCCATCGCTAACGGTATTACCAGCGCTTGAAGAACCCCTTCCATCATCACTTGTAGTCTTGAGTGATGAAAAACATCTTATCAAATGATTCCCCCTTTCGAACAATAAAGTTGTCCGTCTTATAAATCACGGGCTTAAGATACTCGCAGAACACTTACAAACTCTTTCTCACTCACATTTTGAAGCATCCAAACCTAGAAGAAGACGCAGCATTCAAGCATGTTACTTTTTTGATGATACAAATGCTTATACGAAGACTTGGTAGCCAGTACCAACCTGCAAATTTGCTTTGAGATATATCAAAACGGATAGCATGCCGATAACAGATATAAAAACTGCAAACAGGTTTTCCCATGCATAGCTGCTAGTCTGGAGGTTTTCCCATGCATAGCTGCTAGACTGGTTTTGGTTATATCCTTCTCGAGTTTCTTACGAAAATCATCAAAGCGTAGAACCCGGGTCATGTATTGCAGCACAAGAAGGAAGTTCAGAAACATCCTCATAGACCTCGAGCCCCTCATTATTTTTGCAAAAGAGCGAATAAATACCTGCAAAAACCGTAATACATTCTTAAACCAACAATTAAATGACGACGTTGAATCCATTAGGAACATCTGTCCTAGTTTGTAGTAATTAATATAGTTCAGGAAGGGAAAGGTCGGTCTCTTACAAGTGGAATAGGAGCAACACCCAAAATTATCAATTAAGAGGCATGACCCCCAAATTTTTTTAGCTAATACATAACTCCTGCTCCACCCCTTAGCGATACCATCCTCACGTCTCGCAGCCTGATCCTCACGTCTCACAGCCTCGTGTATAGCTCGAAGTTGAAAGATAATGTCAAGTACGTAAAAGATATAAGTGAATAATAGCAAACTAAGAACCACTGGTGTCAACTTTTTGTCCAATCTGATACACTTCATGTCTTTGTTGAGTATAGGAATGTAAAAGAATAAAGGATCCACTGAGACAGCTAAACCCAACATTAGTAGAAACACATCATTCCCAGCAAAGAATTCGCTAGATGAATTACTTGGTCTATATTTTCCATAATCGATATCGGCAGAACTCTGCCCAGTAGTTGCTGCAGGATTCCGGTTTGGACTACTGAACAGAACACAAGAAACATGAAATGGTACCAATCAGGAACAAAAACACATTAAATTTCACAAACCTAAGCATAATTTATTTGCCACAGATTGATTTATTTGTATATCTGGTTTACGAAACTAACCTCGGAATTTCAATGATCTCTTCCTCACGGGGATTCATGTATAACCCAAAGGAGCTTTCTATAAGTATACCTCAAAGTTCTGTTGATACAGTTGGTACCTGCAAAGATGGAACAAAATATTTCATGAAATTTCGAACTACAACATTCTAGTCCATGCATGAATCCCGGCACTGAAGCGCACAACACCAGTAATACCTCAAATCAACGCCGCCTCAGATTGGGAAACGTTCTTAGTGGAAATTTGCAAACGAACAGTCTCGTTTTATAAAAAACAAGTAAAGTTCAATCAAAGTATCAAGTAAGTTTCGGCGAAATTTACGCTCTTAAAATGTTTCCAGTTTATTATTGTTTCAACCTGGCAACTATTTCCTACAACCTTACCAGCAGAAAAATTAAGGATTCCGAGATTAGCTCTTATCAATGGGAATACGTGGACCTGCATTGAGATCTGGTGTCGCTTATTGACATTGACATTGTATACAACATGCTATGTTGTATCGACAGTCTTAAAGTAATCATTTTGCTGCTGGTTTTCACCTTTTGGTTGTGTTGTGTTTGTTTTGATTCCCTGCGGAGAGAGCCCATAAATTGAACGGTTTTACCAACGAACTTCAACAAAAACATAATCTTTAGACACAAATGAAGCATTACGACCTCAGAAAATAAGACGCCTTGCGTGAAAGATGAGAAGCAACCAGACTCATACGTTTTGCATGAGACAGTGAGGGCATCTGCTTCGCTTCTGCGAGGATATGCGTGTTTCGTGGTCTAATCTGGATATTGCTTTTCTCCACACACATTAAAGCAGCATATAGAACTGATTAGTGAATATATTACAAGAAAATAGCATACTTGAGAAATGCCATAGTTTATTTACACATAAATTTGATGATTGATGATTTCCATCTACAACGTTTGCACAAAGCAGACGGCAAGAATCAAACCGCACAAAACAATGATAGATTGTCAAGGAATGCCAAGTTTCTGTACAAACACAAATACTACATATATAGGAACTGCATATTGGTACACTTAGCTTAATTACAGCAATCGGAACAAATGGCAGAACCCTTTGCTACCAATCTTCCTTCACAATTTTTGACTTCTCAAATATGAACTTCCCTTCTTTGTACTTTTGCGATGCCTCATAAGCTCGTTCATACTTCCATCCCAACACCTCACGGCAATCACCACAGTGGATATCAGCAACAGTATGCAGACCAGTTAAGAGATGCCTGTCTTCTTTTGCCCCAACAACGACATTCATCGCATGGGAGAACAGAAAAGCTCGGCCATGTCTTCCCTATAAAATGTTGGAAAACAACGTTAGACCCCACTTCCTATTCTCACACCCAAATATGAAATGAAACAAGACATTCCGATATTTTTAGATGCAATACTTTCATGTTACAAGATCTGGCACAAAGAGCAAACTACGTGTTCGATTCATGTAAAAATGGAAAGTTATCTTCGGATGTTCATTGGTCCATTCAGTTCAGTATTGATCACAGGCTTCACAGCCAAGAAACCTCATGATTAGTGACAAAGAAAAACGAAGAACAAAAAGCAGAGAACCTACAAAGACAGAGTCAACACCCCAATTTCAATTCTTCTATGACATTTACCCTTTGTGTAAAGGACGGTGATTTTCAGACTCTCGTTTCTCCTCCTGCACTGTTGTTTCTATGCATTGGTTCTCCTTTACTCAATTCAATCCAACAGCTTGAGTAAAAAAAAAAAAAGGAAGGTGTGCAGGTGGATAAAAAGGAGTGCGGAAATCACATGAAACCCTATGCAAATCAGTTTAAAGTTCTACAAAACTCAATGATCATTTGGGAAGAACTAGTAAAAAGTCCAGAGACACAAAAATTCAAATATTATTTTCTCAACAAATAAAAAATCAAAGAAGAATAAGTGAACAATAAATATTGTGGAAACCTCACCTGAAAAGCCTTGGAAATTATATCATCGTGAAGGGAAACATGGTTTCTGCAATTACAACAGCTGTACAATCTAGGCCCTACCAAATTCGCCATTAACAAATAAGTCCACAGCTCGAACCTCTAAACACCTCTCACTGCTCGGCAACCAGAGAAAAGCAAAAGAAACAGAGAAAACTTACACACGGGAGAGTAAAAATCTGTTAAAATTAAAACACGAAAATATGGATTAAGAGAAAGATTATGAATTTAATTACCAGCAACAAGATCAACAGTGACCCAGAAGCCTGCAACCAAAGATAAGATTACCAACCAAATTAGCATGCAAGATTCCAAAAGTAAAATATTAAATTTTGAAAATTGAATGATTGGGTTTTGAAAGATACAGGATTTGCAATTAAGGGTAAGCAACAAGAACATTTAGAAGATTAAGATTAACAAACCCAGATTAAAAATGATTAAACAGGTGAATAGGAAAGGGAAAGTTGGAGTCTTTGAAGTGAAATTCATGGGGTATGACAAAATTAAAAAAAAAAAGAAGACCCATTAATTAATTAGGAATTAAAATCGGAAGGGATGAGGATCTGACCTGTTTAGCCAGTCACTAATTGTGATTAAAAAATGATTAAACTTTTTTATGAGAGCAGAGAGAGTTGGGAAATTGCTTTGTTCTTTTACTTGTAGAATTGAATCAATTGATTGCTAGCAATTAGCAGTACAATCAAAGTCGGGAAATTGATAGAGAAATTGCATTAAATTAAAAGAAAAAGAAAAGCACTAACCTTTTAACAGAGGGCTGTGAGACTTGAGGGTTGCGTACAAACTCTATGAGAGAGAGAGAGAGAGATAGAGATAGAGAGAGAGAGAGAGTTTTCTGCAATATTTTGAGTAGGATGGACTTGGTTGGGTCACAAAGAGCAGAGTTACGCGCGCTCCGATTGAGAGGCTCAACACGCGCAAGCTTAGCGGGGCTGTGCTACTGTTAACACAGTAGTACAATGTGGCCCCTAGTTTATCCCAAGTGTGTCAACTGCTATACCAGGGGCGGGAGAACTATATAAAATGAGGGATGCTGTCTATACATTTCTTTTTATCCTCTACATATCCTGTTAACATTTTTATTATTTTTAATTTATTCAATTCGATGATCAAAAATTAAAAGCGACGTAGAAAATATAAAATAAAATGTGTGAATAGTACCATGCTGTGAAAGATGAACATCAATATGACAATGTCTCAAATTACAAAAATTCTATTGTGTGTGGGAATTTTAGCCGTTAAATTTTAGTTATTTATGTTTGATCGAGAACTTGATGGAAAGAAAAATAAGAGAGTTTTTTTTTTATGTCTGGAGCATTAGTGTCCTGACATTTCTGTTTATATAGGAGAACTTTAATGAAAAACTTATGGTAATGTTCATTTTAACTCAAAGTTTCCAAACTCATTTCATTAGTGTTTCTTTTATATAATTATTTTTATGTGTCAATAATTTAACCACTGTTTTAACTAGTCAATAATATTAACAAGGTACATTTTGCGGGAAATGTTGAAAATACATTCTGATGGTAACAAGACAAATTGATATAAAAAACTACCGTTTGTTACATAGTTGGACTACTTCAAAGATATTTTGTTTGGAGAGAGGATTCTTGGAGGAATATCTAGTGAGGATTCTAAAAATTCTCTAATCACATTCGTTCATTGTATATTGTGCAATTAGTTTTTATTAGATATTATTTATATAAAAAAATTATAATAATTTCTGATCGCACGATATATGATAAACGGATATGATTACATGATTCCCGAAATCCTAATAAAGATAATCCAGCGAGAATGCTCCCGATTTTTTTTTAGCCTTGTATCTAGAGACGGATTCGCGGAAAGCTAAACATAAAAATAAATTATTATCATCAAGTGGAGTTTTGAATTCGGCTTGCACGGGTCAAAACTCAACCACATGCGGGGAGCAAATAAGAGAAGTTGGAGAGCAAGGAACTTTAATTACCAATGGAGGATTTTATTTATGGAAAACTAATGAAATAATATTTAAAAATTTTGAGTTTTAATTAAAATAACAAAAAGATGTTGTAAGTAATAAGTAGTACTATAAATAACTTTTTTAAGTAAAAATATCATTTTCGTTAAAAGTGAATAGTACCAGAATGTTTTGTTAAAACTCGCTTCCATTAACCGAAGTCCATATATTACCAGAAAATCCCCCCTTTCCAACTTTAAGATTTTCCTTTTCCTTTTGATGCAATCTTTATCATTGCTCTTATTCACCTTAATCTTATTGCTAAATCATCCATTGCATAAAGCATGTGAAATATAACACACATTAGTTTCTGCGCAACATATGCAGAGAACCAACAAGAAGAAGTACACATTATCCACAAATGATCGTAGTCCTTCGAAAATCGAATTATTGTCGGTAGTAGGTACTGCGTTGTGATGGGGTGACACGGCGGAAGTTATAGACCAAAGGGATCACGACCCTGATCTTGTCATGCATCGTGAGGGATTATTAGTACTGCTTAGAAATCTTTGCTCTCTCGATTATGAACATCCCTTGCTTGTACATCTGTGTCGGCTCATAAGCTCGAAGGTACTTCCAACCTAAGACCTCACCGCAGTTGCTGCAATAGATGTCAGCAACTGAGAAAACACCTGATATGAGCTTCCTGTCCTCCTTTTGCCCCACAATGATGTTCATTGCATGAGAGAACAAATATGCCGGCCCAGTTTTCCCCTAAACAACGAAATCCGAAAATCGAATTGTAAGTTCTTCTAGGTCATAAAAGTGCTTCATGGAGAAGCACCATCATGAAGCACTCCCAACTGCTTATTTCAAGAAGCACTAGAATTATAGATAAATTAAGCAAAATCCTAATAAGCCCGGAGAGAAAACAACATTGATCAAGCACCGTGTGATACCATTGCTGATTTTAGTTCTCAAACCTAAATATTAACGAAAATAAGAGAACATAATATATTTTTCGTGTTTCAGTTTTCACCACAAATTTCTTGGAGATAAGGTCGTCACGAAGAGCAAGAGGATTACGGCAACTTCTGCAGCTGAAGAAGGGGTTGCCGCCGGATTCCGCCATTAAACTGAAAGATTTCAACACCAAGTAAATAACAGTCAGATCCTGCTAAAGTATATAGATATATACATATACAGATGGAGGATAAAAATGGAAAAAAGAAGAATTGAAATCTTCATACATGGAGGAGAGTCAAGAAACTCCGCTCCTAAGATTGAAGAATAATAAGGAGAGGGAGGCATATTTGTAGAGTTTGGAGAGTTGACTGGAAATAGTATTGGAGACTTGGAGTTGGAAAATATGGATGAGGTTGATGAAAAGTCAAGGCTAGTGATGATGAAAAGTACTAAAAATATTATTATTAAGTGGATAATGGAAATCATATCATCTACGTCGAGACGGAAAGTACTTGACAGGTTGGTAAGATATAATTGTTAGACAAGTTGGTAAGAAATAATTGTTAGACGGGATGTGATATTCACACATTTTTTTTATTTCTCACATACATTTTTAATTTTCGACTTTTGGATCAGATAAATTGAAAAAAATCAAGGGATATAAATCAACAAAAGGTGTGTGAGAAGTAAAAATTGGTGTGTGGATAGCATACCCTTTGTTAGACAAGTGGTTAACCTAGTCAATAATATCAATATTATGCTGAAAATGTATAGATAGCACGTTAAAACGTTTTGAGTTATGATGGAGTGAGAGACATAATAATGTGTCATTATACATTACAATCAATTACTTTGATACATAACAAATGTTCTTCCAACAATCGATTGTTTTCATCACCATAAGAGTCCGTTTGGTGGCCTGAATGGGAATGAGTCTAAAAGAAAAAATTTAATTATCAGAGACATGTAAGACATAACTTGTAACCCATGTATAATAATAGGTTAGATAATCCACCATATTGAGGATTCATAACCTATCATTTACAATCCTGTCTCATTTTAATTTGTTACAACCTATTCTAACTAACCTACCACACAGCCCCTAAAAGACATAACCAATTAATAACTTAGCAGGCACTACATGGACTCCTCTACTTTCCTTCATATAGCTGATAGCAACAATACTTTCCTCTACTTTACTTCAGAGCTAATAGCAACAGTACTTGTGTTGGTGTTAAGTCGTAGTCATTGAGACAAAAAAGCAACACCAAAATATACAAAGAACTAGCATACAATAAGCAACGATAATTAGACAGAATTGTACTATATAGACTTATGTGATATGTTGCCTACTCGTATGGAAGTAGACAATACCGCCTACCTTGACAGAATATCACTTGCGTAAATCATTAGAGTATATTATACTTACGCGACTCATCAAATAAAGTTTGTCTAGTGATTGATTGTACCATTGGATTTAACATTTTTAGGAATATGAAAATAAAAAAGGAACAAGACAAGTAAGGGGGGAATCGAGAGTAGAGAGGTTTGAAGATAAGAGTTCGTTTGGATGTGATTTTAAAATAATTAAAAATATTTTTTGTGAAAAATATAAGTAAATCCTATATAAAAATATAAGTACTTTTTAGAAGAAGCACAAACTAATGCTTATTGTAGAAAATACTTCAAATACTTTTGAAATTCAAAAATATTTTTTCTAAAAACGCTTTTAGTTATTTTAAAAAATATCTAAACGAGCTATAATTTATTATCTAATCTAACAAATCTACACCGTACTGTGAGAAGAAGAAGAAAGAAAAGAAAAAAAAAAAATTTTGCCCGCTCTCCGGTCTCCTATCATCTCACTCTTGCTCTCATTCTCTACTGAGAAAAACCAGAAGCGTTCATCTTCCTCTGCTCTTCCTTTCTCTCCACTCTTCATATCTCTCGCCGTGGAGCCAACAAACCAAGCAGCTAGTGACGGTCGACAAGCCTCAAACATGGCGGACGCGTATTGGAGGTACAGCGATGGTCGACAACCGCCGGCCTCGACGATGAATTCAGTCGTCGGAAAGCGTCCTCGCTCCGATTACGGTATGTTAAATTCCTCCAATTTCCGTTCTTTTTTGGGTTTCCTCTCTCCATTTTGCGTTTGTTTGATGCTTGATTAAATTAGGGTTCTTGGGATTTTAGTCTCTTACTGGCTGCTCTGAAAGCAGAATTGTTCAAGTACAAATACAAAATGAAAAATCTAAGATAAGAAATGTGAATAAAAAATGGGAATTTCAATAAGCTGACTTCCAAGTAGTCGAACTAGGTTTTCACTGGGCTGAGGAATTGAAATTTGGGATCTTTTGATCTATGTTGTATGTGGTTTAATCATTATTTGATATTTACGTGGTTAGGTTATTAAGGCATTTTTACAATTTTCGGATATGTATATTTGTTGCTTCTATGGTTATTTCTGAGATATAATTGCTTAGATTATATGATAAATTTGTATTCTTGTTAGTTTTCTGTGCTCTATTTGGTGTTATTTACGCGATTTTGAGTGTAAACCTTGTTCAAAGCATGCATATGAGAGTTAAAATGAGTATTACTAATCTTGTTATGCACATTTTTGAAGATTTTTCGATCTGTTGTACGCATTCATGAGGAGGGGTAGTCTATATATTTTGGACACCGTTTGTTGGTAATATCAGCAAGCAACGTGCTGGCTGGTCCCGGCTCCTAGATCATATTCGTTAGCAGTTTATGTTAAGTGTCAACATCCCCGGCGGCTGTTAATAATTATTTCAGCTCTAATAAATGCCCGGTTTGATTCAAGGATCAGCCTTTTATGCCGAGTTCTGTAAGCCTTGATAGGTGTACAGATTGTATTATACATGAGTTTTTTAATTGAAATTATTTGAAGATATGCTACCATGTAGGATCACTACAGTTACTCTATAAACTACTAAGGTGCTATCATTAAATGCGAAAGGAAAATTCAAGTGGTCGTGTTAGCATATGCAATATATTGAGATGTCGTTAGGTTGTCAGCAGTTTAACTTATTATTCACTTGTTTATAGCTTTATGTCACCATCTGCGTTTATAATCATATGCCTTCAAACATTGTTTCTTTATTTTCTCGTTTGGTATCCTGAAGTACATCCTTAATCTTTTAGATGCCCAGGGTGGTCATGACCTCCCTAACTATTATCCCCAAGAAGATGATAGAGGTTCTATCCGAGCAATTAGAGATACCGACTCCATAAATGCGTCGTATGATCGTTACCTGCGCAGTGCGGTACCTACTTTTCTCTTTCTGGAACCGTCACAATTTTTTACCATATGTTTTAAGTTTTGGGGGCTAATGTTACATGTAATGTTTCAGCAAATTTCATCATATAGCGGAGGGCAGTCTGCTAGAAACATGAGTGGGGGACCACCTGGTCGTGCTGTTGATGATCCACGCATGATGGGAATTGGGGGTGTTGACCCAGGGGCACCTGTTAAAGATAGGGTCTTAGGAATGGGAAGTGGACGGCCTGACGCTCCCCTTCCTCCTGGTGCTACCAGTACGCTATTTGTGGAGGGATTGCCTCCCAACTGTACTAGACGTGAAGTAGCTCGTATCCTTTAATTTTTTTAGGGGTTGCAGTTTTATTTCTCTTTTTATCATTACTTGCACTTTACCTTTTTAGAGTTTTCCCTTCACTTGGTTTCATAGATATCTTTAGGCCTTTCGTTGGCTACAAGGAAGTGAGACTCGTGAGCAAGGAATCGAGACATGTGAGTTTATCTTTTGCAAGGAATAGATTTAATTGTTAGTGATTGATGGATTCACAAATAATTAACCTGTGCAGCCTGGAGGAGATCCGCTGATACTTTGTTTTGTTGATTTTTTGAGTCCGGCCCATGCAGCAACTGCTATGGATGCATTGCAAGGTAAGCTTAATTTTTTATTTAATTTGTTGAAATTATAGCACCATAGTTTTGTTGCTTTTTCTTATGCCATTGTTGGAGGAGATGCATTTCCTAAAAAAAATTCTCCACTTCACAAGAAGATGGATTGGCAAATGATAAAAAGGATTTGCACCAATAGTATGGATTGTTGTTTGGCAGTTCTATGTAATTAACCAAAAGAGCCAATACGTTACCAAAGTTTACAAATGTATAGTAGAATGGGCAGACAAGATTGCTTTGCTTCAATTCATATGGAAACTTTGTACACAGGATTTGTGACTTTAAACCCCTTTTAACTTCCAAAGCTACTTTCAACCACTTCAAAGATTCCCAAACCCTTAGTTTTGTGGCATTTATTTTCTGTTTAAAGTGAGATAATTCACAATTCAAGGTGTGGGACTACGTTTTTTAAAGACGACGTGATTTTTGGGCCATTTTTATTGGATTTACGAGGTGAGCACAGATTACCGCTGCCCATAGGTCTTGGTTTCACCCGTGACTTTAAGTTAGAAGTTGCATGGTCAGCAAAGTCATCCAGTACCAGGACACCACAAACCAAACTTGTTAAATTGTTCCAAACACTGGAAGGGATTGCCTTCATGGTTCATTTGTTATCTTCCAAGGTTCTATGAAGGCCTTGAATCTGGTTGGTTTCTCGGGACGTGATTTTTCCCTTAATTAGTCAAGTAGGACTGCAAGACTGATGAGAATTTTTGTTTGGCCACTCTTGTAATTCCAGTCTATGAGTAGTGCTGGGGACAGTGGTGCTCTCAGTATAGTTATCTCATGTTTTAGCCTACACTTTTGTCTTTTGTTCCTGTTAGATGAAATCTCATTATGAGGTTTCCCTAGCGGTATTGTATACTTTATGTCAAGAGAGAAAGCTCATCACCTTCATTTTTGGAATGAGGGGAGACCCATTTTTACCATTCTGTCAATCTAGGGCGTGTGGCGAACCCAGGTTTGCGACTTAGGTGTGTTGAAAAGTGATGGGTGTTAAATATTTAAGATAACGGTTTAACGTCTTTATCTCATCTATCTGCTGATGCCCTCAATCGGCATTGAGAACGTACCCAGTTGTTACAGCGTAAATGGTCAAGCTCGATTTTGCAGGTTATAAATTCGATGAGCATGACCGTGACTCGGTCAATTTAAGGTTGCAATTCGCTCGCTATCCTGGTGCGAGGTCAGGTGGTGGGCACCGAGGGAAGCGTTGAATTATGCGGTTTTTCAGGTGATTCACACAATTTTCGATCGGTGCAACCGTTTATTATTCATGGCCGTTAGGTGCTGAGTTAAAACTAAAAAAATCACGCTAAACCGTCGAACGACTCTTCTCTGTAGGACTTGCTTGATTCGGGAGGTTGTGATAATGAGGGGCGATACAGCAAACTTGCAGTTTCGAGAATTAAAGGCGCATAGTTAGGACCAACTCGCTTGGGTGGTTCCCTCTAATTCTAGAGTGCTTTTCTGTTTAGACACCTGCAGACTTTATTTCTTTTACTTTGATTTGAACTGTTCCGTTTCGTTACCAGTATGATTACTTACGGATATTTTGCCATGCGTTTGCTAGAAAATGTAAACTTAAATAAGTTGAACATGTTGAAGTCTCCTTGCATTTGCATATGCTCTGGGATTAGGGTCTAGGTTTGATATTTATTCGGTGATGAAGTGCGGTGACTGTTGTAGGTTTCGTTTTGTATTGACAGTAACTGGCTTTTGTGGTAACTGTTGTAGGTCTCGTTTTATATTGAAAATAACTGGCTTTTTCTGTGTTGTTGCTCATTTTTTTTCTCAAAGATGTCATGAATTTTGTTTGTCGTAAGAGTCAGTACACTATGTACCAAATTATCGCTGCATGGAAGCATTCTTGCTTTTGGTTTTCAAGTTTTTTGACTGGGTTTGGGTTGAATTGTAGATGGACCTAATCCTAACATGATTCGATTGTGATGTACTAGAGTCTACCCTAGAATCGAAGAATTAACATGATATCGGAAGATTTGTCGTAAGGGATGTTTTTGGATTTCACTTTCCTACACTACTGGGGAGGCAGCTACTGTAATTAGGTGCATATTAGGGCTTGATTCTTTTACTAACATCATACTCTCCTATTTTGTTTCTCTTCCCTTTTCATGGGGTGATATTCTAATAATCTCCGGGGAGGACGAGGAAGTTCGGTGCAAGTTGAGCACACTGCACCGAACTTCCGGTCCTCCTCCCCGTAGCATGCCTAGAGTGAGAGTGAGAGTCAATGACTCAATGGCATACCCTTTAACTCTGTAGAGTGAGAGTCAATGACTCATTGGCATGGTAGCACGCGTTCATTGTAGTCTAGGCATTATCCAGTTGGAAATTTATGGTTTCATATTTTCTTGCATTTCCACAAGGTCCTATCTTGTCATCGGCTAATAAATGTTGAAGACAGAGAAAAGAACGACAATCGTGATCTTTTTCCACGGATTCATTAAGCATTGCTTTTGCTTCACCGCTGCGGGAACTGCCAAAGTTGGGGTTGGTCTTCTGTAAGAGAATTGAGGCACCTTTGCTCTTGTGGTTTTGAACGAGCAAAATAATGAACTTTCTGTTTGCTGCAATTGCCGTCCCCATGATCAAACCCCTCTCAGGATGGTAAATCTTGCACTTGCCATGTTGTTTGACAATTGCAAGACCCTTTTCTTGCAGCTGCCAATACAAAGTAAATTGTTCTTTAAATCTGGTACATAAAACACCCCAATGATTACATTGACTTCCATGACAACATTCCCTTTCCCTAGCACAGCCAAGCTCGAGTTGTTCCCCAATTTTGTTTGATCATCAATTGTTGTCTTCCTCTGTGCATCAATGAGATTCGTCCCTTCTGCTGCTGCAAAGATCCCAGCCTTCACTCTTCACCAAGCCCCAATATTCCTTGAAGCGCAAGAAATTCTCCATGAACACCATCAAACTTTGGGATTGCAGGTTGCATAAAGCTGCTTTCAGGCCATGTGTGGCTGCTGAACGATAAAACTAGCTCCTGAGTTACATGCTTTGATCAGGCCCCGTGATGGGGCTCTAATACCAGATGTTAGAATCGAGAATGAACACTTGATAAAACTAGTAGATAAATGTTTGATTTGCACTCAATAGTTGGAAGAATTTCTATTAATGAATTCAAGAGCAACAATGGCGTTAAACAGCCTTACAAAGAACTGAAAGTTGAAAGTACAGCTCACATTTTAACAACCCTAATTACGTGGTACACGACTAAAGTTGGAAACAAACTAAACAACTTGAACCACTACTTGAAACAAGCCATAGAAACTAGGAAACCCAACCCTAACGGCTAGGAAACCAAAACAACTTCAACGGTGTAGTTTCTGTTCTCTTATTATTTCAATGCCTCTTTTCATGTCCTTGATCGTAAGCGTAAACCCTTCGACTTTTGTGCAGCACATAACACTCTTGGTAGAGCGAGAGGTCGTCCCTTCATAGAATGCCCGTGCTCGAACAAGTTCTTCTCTGTAAAAATCACCTTTATGAAATAACCGGTTACTTGTAGGTGTGCAGGTCATCACTGTCCCTTGCGTGATGAGTAATATCTCTTCAAATTGTTCCCCCTTTGGATCAATATAGGTGTTCGCCTCAAGAATCACGGGCTTAAGATAATCACAGAATGCTTCAAACTCCTTTTCTTTCATATTATGAAGCTCCGTAGCCTAGAGGAAGACACAAGTATACGAGAAATATAAAGAGCAAGTCCAACGAAAATGTATTGTCCAGAATTGAACTAGGCCTGCTATGGCCGTGAGCATTCAAGCATAGGTTACCATTTTTAATACAAAATCTTACTCTTTTTAGTGTATCTAGGCAGAGACGGCGCTTGATATTAACCCTATCTTTCCAGGGAAGAATATCGTTGATAGTTATTATGTTGATGTCTTTATCCGCTTTCAATTCGTTTAATGCACATGTCATGATCCTTTCTTTCAAATCCAAAGGGAGGCCATTCTCATCTAACCATGATGCTATCTGAGGATTTCTCTTATTCCTCATTTCCCTCAACTTTCTGTTCTCCTTTGATAATTCAGCTGTCGACTGGGCATGCATCTGTTCCACAACATGTTGGTTTTAGTATTTTCTATACAAAAATTAATAAATTAACTTTCTTTGCCAACTTGAAAGGTTTTGTTCAATTGGAACTTTTATTCGAAGACTCGGTAGTGAGTACCAACCTGCACAATTGCATTGAGATATATCAAAACGAATAGCATGCCGATAACATTAATAAGAATCGCAAAGAGGTCTTCCCATGCATAGCTGCTAGTCTGGAGATTTTGCCCAAAAGAGCTGCAAAAAAGAAACAGAAAACCCTAAATTCATTGAGCTCAAGCAAGTCATATCACTTCTCTTTGGAAAATAATAATAGCAATAATGAAGAACGAACCTTAAATTTCGTAAGCCCCACCAAAAACAGTGCAAGAATTTCTGTGGAAAATCTGTTGAGCTCAAGATACCAGATTGAATGGCATCAAGAAATATACCGAAATCAAAAGACGTTGCGGTTGGTGGATTTGCATGACATAGATTATTTAGAAGCGTGACATTTCTCATGAATGTATCCTTGTCCTCACAATAAAAACCTCCAAGTTCACAACCATTTTCATTTCGACAAGCATACTTCCAGCAATCCATCAATCGTTGAAATGAAAGAAAGTACCAAAGAGCTCCGAAAACCTAAAGGGATGAAAATGACGTTAGAAGCTGCATGAAAATTTACAAACGTTCTACCATATTTATGTCAGAAAATACGTTAATAAACTCATAGAATGATAAAAATAAACTAATTAAGTAGTAAGGAATAGTTATTTAGTACTACGGTTTAATGATATTCTTCTTCACTTGTAAGTGAGAGGTCTTATGTTCGATTCTCGCTAAAGACAAATTTGAACCACATTATTATGCTAGCCCATTTAGTCCACTCCCCTATCCTTGTAGATAATATCGTATCTTCAAAAAGTAGTAAGGAATAAGACTTACATGACTAGCAAGAATGAACTCAAAGATTATGAAAACGCCACGAATCCAGAATTTGCCAACACCCTTAAACCATTTTATAGGAGTGTCTTGGGTTATATGCTCACGCAATTGATAAATGCGTCCAACCCGGACCACGTATTGCAGCACAAGAAGAGAGTTCACCATCATTCTATAAGAACCCGGGAGCCTTATTATTTTTGTGAACGAGAGAATAACAACCTGTAAAAACCATAATGGATTCTTAAGCCAACAATTAAACGACAATGTTGAATCAATTAGGAATCAATATCGGTCCTAGTTAGTAGTAATTAATATAGTTCAGAAAGGGAAAGGTTGATCTCTGACTTGTGGAACAGGAGCAACAGCCAAAACAACAATTGGCAACCATTGCTTAATAATCCTCCAACGATTAAAACGATCCTCAAGAACATTCCAGATAATGTCATATGCGTAAAAGATATCTGTGAGGAATCGCAAATAAAGAGCCGTAACTTTCAACTTTCTGTCCAATCTGGTACACTTGATGTCTATGTTGACTATAGGAATGTATAAAAATAAAGGATCCACTGATACCGCAAACCCACAGATTAGTATCAACACAGCACTCCAAACTTGACAAAATTCCCCATTCGGATTTAAGAGTCTTCTAAATGTTGGTCCAAAACGCCACCTTTCCTTAATCGCTACTCTCCGTTGTATCCATTCTGCACGTTCTCTTCCAAAACGCCAGCTTTCCTTAATCCCTTCTCTCGGTTGTCTCCTTTCTGCCCATTCTCTTACAGGGGACGTAACACTAGAAACATCAAAGTTTACCAGCCAGGAACAAAAACACAATAAATTTCAATATTTCACTAATAACCCGAAGCAGTAAGCATAATATATTTGCATATTGGCAGTGATTTATTTGTGTATCTGGTTTACGAAACTAACCTCTTCGTCGGATTCAACTTTTCCAAAGGAATCGGGTTTGCACGCTCCCCTGTAGTTGCCGCAGGATTCGGATTTGCACTACTGGACAGAACACAAGAAACATCAAAGTTTACCAACCAGGAACAAAAACACAATAAATTTCAATATTTCACTAATAAACCTCAGCAGTAAGCATAATATATTTGCTTATGGCAGATTGATTTATTTGTATATCTGGTTTACGAAACTAACCTCGGACTTTCAATTATCCCTCTCTCAACGGAAATCGTTATCTCAGAGGAGCTTAGTGGATCCATGTATAACCCAAAGGAGCTTTCTCGACGTATACCTCAAGAGTTCTGCTGGTACAGTTGATACCTGCAAAGATGGAACAATATAGTTCATGAAAATTACGAACTACTACGTTCTAGGCCATGCATGACCAGTAATACCTCAAATCAACGCGGCCTCAGATTGGGAAGCGTTCTTAGAGTGGAAATTAGCAAACGAAGAGTCCCCTTTTAAAGAAAACAAGTAATGAAGTCCAATCAAAATATTAAGTTTCGGAGAAATTTACCGCTTATAAATTTGTTCTTTCCGATTACAGTTATCTAGTTTAATATTATTTCAACCTGGCAACTATATCCTGGAAACCTACTAGCGGAAAAATTAAGGGAACTTTCATGAAAAGAGTTTAAACTAAGTTTATTTTAATAAAAAATTCATGCTATAACTTTATTTAATTAAAAAGACTTAAATTTTAATGAAAAACCCGTGAATTTTAATAAAAAGGACAAAAGAACTTACATTTTAATGAAAAAGACATAATTTTAATAAAAATGACAAAAAATCTGACACGCGGACTCACGGTACACTGTTTATGAAACTTACCACACTGTTTATGAAATTTACTACACTGTTTATGAAAACTTGCGATACTGTTTATGAAACTTACGACACTATTTATGAAAATTTACTACAAAGAGTTCCTCAAGAACCATACAGCTTATTTAATCTCCCATGATTGCTGCATGAGATACCCAGTTGTTCCTCCCTTCTTTTCAGGGCCGTCTCTGAGATTTCAGGGCCCTGTGCCAAATTTATAAAAGAGGCTCTTCTTAAGACAACCAAAAAAAAAAAAAATTAATTGAACAAAGTATTGATGCTAAAAAGCAATATTGAAACAAACTTTAAAACTCAAACTAATCATCGGTTTCTAAATATCATTAAATGTAAAGAAAGGTACAAAAATAACCATATTATTAAATAATCAACAATTAGTTCAATCCTAAGAAACCAAATAAACAAAACTTTAAAAAGTCTAGCATTGAAGTTTCACTTAAAGATGCTTCTTCGTGCATTCTTTGCTGCAAAATCATCAATTAAACCTTCATAATCAATTTTGTGTAAAAAACCACTTTCAATCGATATCAAAGCAAGTCCATTTAACCTTTCCTGCAACATAGTTGATCGCAAGTATGATTTTAATAACTTTAACTTTGAGAAACTTCTTTCCACAGATGCAACGGTAACAAGTACAGTCACCAAATTCTGTACGCAGTGCTTGCAGTCGCGCATCCTCTTCAAATAGTTCAATATGTCAATTGATGTCTTCATTTCTTTCGGCAAAGGCTCTTGTAAAAGCTTCAACTCTACAAATAATGCATCCCCATCAACATCAAAGAACTCACATTTCTTGAGAAAGTTTTGAAGGCGGTCACAACAATCTTTCAATTTATCATTGTCCATCGAATTCAACCTTTCTGAAATGAACAAAAACCCAAATATATCATCATATGCTTGATATTCTTCAAATCTTCTCTTCAATGAACCAATAGCTTGATCTATTATATATAAGAAGTAATGAACCCTAAAAGATTCATCCGCTGATTGTTCAGTTGATTAGGATGATTCGTCATCACTCTCATCAAAGTGTCTCTTTCTACGAACTTGACGCTTTTCCGGAAACACGGAATCAATTTCCATTTCAATAGCAAGTTTTTTAGCATTAATCATGTCCTCTGCAAACCCAGTTTCTCTATACTTTTCAAAATAAGCAATCAATCCCTGCACTTGTTCTATAGCAACATTAATACATATGTCTTTAGATTGCAAGTCTTTGCTAACCTCATTAATAGCAGCCAATACTTCGTACCAAATAGTCATGCCCAATAAAAATTCAAAATTCCCAATTTCATTTGTTGCCAAAGATTTAGTTGCACCTCTTGTTACTAAGTTATTGTCACTTTCTGCTAGTTGGAGTAAAGTTTTTTTTATTTGTACAGGTTATGATTGAATTGTTTTAACACTCACAACATGGCTTTCCCATCGTGTGGCCAACAATGATTTGAGAGTCATTCATTTTATATTTTCTTTCAGAATCTGCCATCGTTTTGTAGAATTAGCGAACAAGCTATAAATACGTTGTACTGTTCCAAAAAAAGTCTTTAGTTTTGCCACAAGAGTTTGCCATATCACAAAGAGTTAAGTTGAGACTATGGCAACCGCATGGAGTATACATTGCCCTATGATTTATATCCAAAAGCCTCTTCTGTAAACCTTGGTGTCTCCCTTTCATATTTGATCCATTATCATATCCTTGCCCTCTCACATCATCAATATCAAGATCAAAAGCTTTTAATAGATTCTGTAACTCTTCAAACAATCCTTGTCCAGATGTGTTATTCACATTCAGATACTGCAAAAAATATTCTTCTACTTTTACTGGAGTACTATTCACATCCACACGTCTTAAGATCAAAGTCATCTGTTCTTGGTGGCTAATATTAGGAGTACAATCAAGTATCACAGTAAAATATTTAGCTTCTTTTATTTTCTGAATGATTGCAGCTTTGATTTCACAAAATATCAACAATATCAATTCATTCTGGATGGTATGACTAAGATAATGGTAACGAATCTCATTTTTTTGAAAACGTTGAAGATGTTTCTTTATCGGTGGATCAGATTCAGCCATCATTTGAACAAGGCCCATAAAATTTCCATTGCTTTCTTCATAAAGCGTATCGTTTGTTCCACGAAATGCCAAAGTCTATTTAGCTAGATATTTCACAATGGAAATCAACATTCGTAGTAACTCCCTCCAATGCCCTTTTTCTTTCTTGATTTGGTTCTGCACATCTTTGTCAATTGTTTCATTTTTTTTCCAATCAAAGACGCAAATCAATCCAAGTGGTCATGTTCGAGATGTGATCAGAACTGATTTCATGCTCTTTAAGCCTCACACTGAGATGTGTCCAATCTTTGTAGCCCTCATTTGCTAATTGACCTTTGAGATGCCCTTTCTTAAACAATTTGCAACAAAAACAGAACACTTTATCAATATCTTTTGAATGCACTAGCCAATCTCTATCATGTTTCTCTCTATTGGACAAGTATCAAATGTAAAAGGCTGCATTAAAACGCCTATTAAACTGATCTTTAGGACCTTTCTCAATTGATAGATCTCTTACAGGATCTTTTTCTACTAACAAATCAATCCATTTGGGATCAAGACTATCCCAAATTTGAGGATCATAAACGTTCGAGGGAATGGACTCACTCGGTTGTCCAGTGAAGACATTATGAGCATCATCATAATTATCAATCTCTTCAAGAATGTCATCAATTTCATCATGGCCCAAATCATCAACTAATTTCTCATTGTCAATGTGTTGTTCATTAACTAAATCATCCACCGAACTTTGTGGTTCTTTTTCTTTAACAAAAAACCTATCAATAGCTCATTTTTTAGACTGAGTCAACTGTTCAACCCTTCTTTTTCTTTGATGCTTCAAGTAGCCAGATGAATATTTTCTAGTAAGTGTCATCTTTTATATCTCAAACAAGATCACAATTAAATTATAATAAGTATGAACAATAAAACCTGATAGTCCGCAATGTGTGTGCGTCTAGTATTTTTTGCGATTGCTCCCTCTTGTTGTGATGATTACTTGATTAATTTCTATGAGTTTTGCCCTGAAAAGTATACAAGAAAAAAATTCATTATAGATGAGAAATACCTAAATTTTCAAATTTCAACTTCATATACTTAAATTTATAAATTACTTACTTTAATCGAAGTCTGCATCATTTTGATCACTTGAACTGTCTTCGTAATTTGAAAATTTCTATTCAATTGGATGAAATTATGAACTAGGGTTTAGTGGTTTGTGGGGGGAAAAAGCAGTGGAGAGAGAACTCGGATGCAATGGGAGGGATGAGGCGTCAAAGGAAAAAAAAAAGACTCTTAAGTCTCTGATTAGACTTTAGCGTGAAAAATAAGGAAAAAAGTGAGATATAGTTTTATAAAATATATAATTTCATAAGGAATTGATGGGTGTGTGGGATTATAGGCATGTAGCCAGTAGTATTGTGGGCCTACTCCTATTATATATATTATATCTATTGTGTTGGTTAGATTTTATATGATATTTTTATATAACTACATTTAATATAAAATTATTCTGGGGGCCCCTCAAATTTTGGGACCCTATGCAAAGGAACCTATCAGACTCCTCCAAAGCCGGCACTGGGTTTGAGATCTCGTCGGAGTCACTACACCGTGACTGCACAGTGTCGAGGGATGAGAATGAGTGAGAGTGGGATGTGAAGGAGAAAAGGAAAGGGTCCTGGTGGCAGCAATGGTGGTGTGATGGTTGTAGTGTGTGTGCTGGTTGCATCAGAGGGAAGAGAACCGAGAGAGATATATAGACAGACACTAGTACATAACAGCATATTTACCACGTCAATTCCATCACGGGCATCAACAACTCGTGGTAGAAACTATTCAATTACCACGGTCAAGTGTCGCTCGTGGTAGATAACATTAATCCACCACGGTTAGATTCCGGCCCGTTGTTAAAAGTGAATAATCTACAACGGTTTTTAATTCCGTGATGGAATATCAAAACCACCACGCGATATGCTCGTAGTGGTTACTTCAAACGACCACACCGCCTTTTGAAAATTCACCACGCCATCGGCCCGTGGTGGATGTTTTTATGTTTTTTTTTAAATATATTTAGAATCATTATATTATTGATTATTTATTACTATATTGATTATTGATTGCAACAAAAAATTTCTTTCATAATTTATTATTTATTATTATATTTGAAATACTACACTTTTGTTTAACTTTTAAATCCGATAATATCCAATAGTCCTAATTAAAAGTGATGCGGAGAATTTCAATCAATAAATGACATGGTTACAAATAATGATAAATAAAATCTACAAAACGTGGGAGGGAGGCAAGGAGACCTCCATTGCTTTTGTGACTACCCAGAACACCCAAATTTTGGTTTGTCTTCATTGCGATTTGACCAAAACAAATAAAAAGTGATAATTACAATTCAAGAACTATGTAAAATAAAAATAGAACTATATATTTAAAATTTAAGATATCAAAATTTTACCATAATTACAACATAAAAACTTCTATGTATAATTTTATTTAAATTTATTAGCCCATTAGTGGGTGTTGCGCCGTATCAGAGTCCCAATATACTTTTAGTTTTATGGCTATAAGAGAGTCCCAATGATGATATAATTGTAAAACAACTAACATATAATAAAGGTTAATATAATTTTTATTGGAAAGAAAACTTAATTAAAAACCCACTAAGCGAGGAAACTGCCGTTCAAGTTCCCACCAGTTGCTTGCAGTTATATTTGGTTATCCCCTCAATCCTTCTCTTCACATCCTTCTTTTTTTCTAGGACGCAAAAGATTATTCACTGATCTCTCTATATAAATTTGGTATGAATTGAGTGGTCTTGTAGTTGCATTTGGCTCTTTTGCGATACTCTCACGATCTCTCAAGCTCTCAGCCCTCTCACTATCTCTTTCTCTCAGTGAGTTTGATTTGGATTGTCTTTCTCTTTCAGGTTGGAATCTCGGTTTCAGACTATATAGTCTTGATTCTGGTATGTCAGTTTCGTAGGGTTTCTTTCTACGAATTTTCTTGGTGTTATTTCATCATTTTTCCGCAAATTTCAACCCTATCTATTCTCCATAAGTTCTCTCGTTGTTTAGGGTTTTTTCGTTTTTTCTATGTTTTACTTCATCACTAATTGCTAATATTGTTGGAGGATTTTTTGTAATCGGAGCTATTCCAATTAGTACGCTGGCTTTTTTTTTTTTTTTGTCATTTGTTATCACTGATGATTTATAATGTAATTGTTGTTTTGGGATTTTGAGGAGGTGCGTTGATGATGTGCCATCAATGTCAGAGGAACAACAAGGATTGGGTAGTTCGCTGTAAAGAGTGTAAGAGGAAACGATTTTGTATTCCTGATCTGCTATATATTGCTTTAATATTTCTGATTATAACTTACTAAAGATCGATGTTGGGTTCGTAGAATCCAGTAAATGATATTTGATTTGGTTTCAAAAGGAGAAAGGGGTTACAATTTACATTCTTATCTGGTTGGTGATAGAATAATGTGCATTTGGTCTTGAAAACTTCTTGAATGGAGGATGCTGTATCTAGTACAATTGCTTGGCTATCAAAGTACGTTCGAGTTGGAGAGTAATTTTAGTTCGTACTTACACTAGAAAATGGTACTTTGACACTACATAGATAGTACTTTATGACTTCTGTTTATGTATTCATTAGGCACTACATGGATAGTACTTTATGACTTCCGTTTATGTATTCATTTGGAAACTCAAGTATTTTTAAATTATGTTATAATATTATCAAGTATTTTTTATGTGCTTATTATATTGTAGTAAATATGCAATTTTGTTGGTTATTCTATACTAAAATATATAAATACAGATATATATATATATATATATATATTTGTTAAATAATTTTTTTTTAATTTTGGAAAATAATTTATCACGGGCATTAGCTATGGTTAACTAGTAATCGACAACGGTCATAGCACGTGGTGTTAGATCTCAATCTACCACGGGTACAATTCGTGGTTATATTGCAGTTGACAACGGGCATAGCTCGTGGTAGAAAATGAGACTTTTTATCACATCCATAATACTAACGGGCACAGTGTCCGTGGTGGATTGCAATTTATCACGGGCATTAGATGTGGTTAATTAGTAATCGACAACGGTCATAGCACGTGGTGTTAGATCTCAATCTACCACGGGTACAATTCGTGGTTATATTGCAGTTGACAATGGGCATAGCTCGTGGTAGAAAATGAGACTTTTTATCACATCCAGAATACTAACGGGCACAGTGTCCGTGGTGGATTGCAATTTATCACGGGCATTCACCGTGATAGATGAGCTTTTTTCTTCTAGTGAGAGAGAGATAGAGCACGGGGGAGGAGAAAGGAAAAGGCTCCAAATAAAAGGTGCCACATGTCACCTATGTAGTGGTCCAAAAAGGTTAGATATTTCCATTACAAATTTACCAAAACGCCGCCACGTTTAAAAAAAAAAAATTCGTTACAAGTCATTACAAGTTATGGCAAGGTTGGTGACAATTCTTTTGGATTGCAAGATTTGTTATGGAGCATGAATTTACTATTTCAAGAATAAGAAAATATCCAAGTATTTTTTCGTTGACCTTCCACCTTCCTTCTGTTTCCTTCCACATTCATTCCACCTTCCTTCTATTTCCTTCCACCTTCCACCTTTTCTCCCTGGTTCCTTCCTTCCACCTTTTCTCCCTGGTTCCTTCCTTCCACCTTCCTTCCACATTCCTTCCACCTTTTCTCCCTGGTTCCTTCCTTCCACCTTCCTTCCACCTTTTCTCCCTGGTTCCTTCCTTCCACATTCCTTCCACCTTCC